TAACTTGGACTTATTGGACGTGATGCCCATCTAGAGCCCGATAAACTCGAGAGGTCCTTTCCAACGTGTCCCCGTACTAATTAAGTGAGAATTATGGAATGGCAGGTTTGTTGTTAAAAGAGTTTTTTTTAATTAACGTTTTAAATTCGAATTTTACTACCAGTATTTAGAGTATTTATTTTTTAAAAATATACAACATTAATATGAGAAGCACAGCATTCAAATTCAAAAGTCAGAAACTCTCGTTACTCGTTTTAATCAATTAAAGCCAAGCACTTTTCTCTCTTTCTTTTTTTCTTTTCCCTGTCTCTTAAACCCAAACATCTACTTTTCTTATTCTGGAACAACAAAATTATATAAGTAGGGTTTATAAGAAATAAATATTGGAAAGTTTTTTTTTTTTTTTTTTTAACAACTAGCATATTCCAACTATCAATCATACAATAATATCTAATGATCTAATCCAAACGTTAACTTGCCTTTGATGCCAAAAGATTGCAAGATGGACTTAATCTACGAACACCAAACCCGTAATTAATTGAAAATAGTATGTTTTACAGCACTTGTCTTGTTTAGGATTTTTAATCTTTTGATTATTCAATAACGGTTTTTTTTTCCCTTTCAATATTATGGTATCAAAGGCATTATGGTATTTTTGTAATTTTTCAATTTTTTTGAATATTTATATTCAAAGTTTACATAAATTTTCATTTTGATCCTTGAAGTTTTAAAATAACAATTTGATCATTGGACTATTCGGCCTCTGGGCTTGCTGCATTGGGCCTACAGCAGGACCTAGGGAGGCAAGCAAGCCTGCCTACTTTTTTTTTTTTTTTTCATCAATTTATGTTTTTTTATTGTTGAATTAGATGTAAAAATCATGAAAAATACTATTTTTATTCTCTCTTTTTTTTTCTGCAATTTATGGTTTTTTTTTTAGTTATTGAATTAGGTGCGAAGATTATGAAAACTAAATTTTTTTTTCACACAAACCAACGGTTATAAAATATATAACTCTTATTGCTTAAAACTAATCTCTTTAATTTGATGTTTCTTATAAAAATTCTTATCAGATTAATTTTTTATTCTTTTTGTTATGTAATTTCATTTGTTCAACTTTATGATTTATATTCTCATAAATTTATGATTTATTTCTCGTGTATGGACTTTTGAATAATGTTTTTTAGTTGTTTTTATTTGTTTATTTTTTATATAATCAAACTTTAAAAATAAAATTCACATGTTTTATTTACTTATTTTTTATATAATCAAATTTTGTCAAAATCAATTTTATTTTATTTTTATTGCATCCCCCTAACTTCAATATATTTTCTATAACTTAATTTTTTTGTTTTTAAAAAAATCAATTTATACTTAACACTCTAACTTAATAAGTACGGCCATGATGTATGTAAAAAAAAATATTAGAGTTATTGATTTTATTATAAATCAAATATGCATTTACACTCTTAACACCAACTAGTGCTATTATTTTTATATTTTAGAATTATTTTTTTCAAATAAAATAATTCAAATAATGTTTTAGAAGAACTGCCTAAAAATTAAAATACAATTTTTATACTATTATTATTATTATTATTATAAATAGGTTTTTTTATTATTGAATTAGGTGTGAAAATTATGAAAAATGCTATTTTTATTCTCTCTTTTTTTTTCCACCTAGTTATGTTTTTTTCTTTTTTAAGTTATTGAATTGGATGTGAAGATTATGAAAAATAAATTATTTTTTTTTCACACAACCAATACTAATATTTATTATTATTATTATTATTATTATATATACGGACATATATCAAATGTATATGCTTTAAAAAAAAACATTCTTCTCATTAGCATTAAACAAGAATAAAAAAAATTATTTTTTAATTTTTATTCATGTTTTTATGTTACTTTATTTCTTCGATACAATGTTATGAAAACATTTTTTTTTAATTTTATAGTTAGAATATTATGGATTTTTTTAAGAATAAATGCATACAAAATAAATCATGTTTTTTTAACTACAAAAATTATTTAAAAAAGAAAAAAAGAAAAAAAGAGATGAAATTTTTTTATTAAAAATTATAAAATTAGATAAAATTTTATTTTTAATTTAATATATTTTGTGAATAGATAGGATAACAAATGTTATCAAACTGAAATAAATATATTTAACTCAATCTGCAACATAGTAGGGAAGCCAAATAATTAAATCTAAATTAAAGCATGCTTTTCTGTGCGCAAAATTAAATCACATAGGTCTTTTTTTTCTTTTTTTCTTTTTTTTATCACCAATCATTCGCACATGGTAGATTGGAAAAATAACTTATGTGGAGAAAAAAATTATATTGCTTGTCATGCTAGTTTTTTGGTCTCTTTTAAAAATTTTTTTTTGTTTTGTTACTATCTGTAACTATTATGTTGTGAATGATATGTTATAATATATTGCTCATAAGATTAAATATATTAAACTGTTTGATGATAAAATGATATATTGCTTCGTGTGTAATTTTACTCAAATATTCAATAATCTATTGCTGTGATATTTGAACTAACATTATTATTAAGGACATATTTCAAGATTTTCTTTAAGAAATTAAAATAAATTATTTGGAAACATGTCATCCTTAAAATCAAAAGTCTTGTGCAGTGAATAATATAACGAAAAAAAAAAGGAAGAACCAAAACATTATATAATACGTTTTTAGCACTAGTATAAAAACTAAATATTAAAGTAAAATATGCATCATTCTATCTAAAAAAGCAACATTTCTTGTGCATTTTGAAGCATAAGTTAATACATGTTTAAAATTTTCATGTTTTTTGAAGTATAGGTTAATATATCTTTAAACATGCTTTATAAAAATCACATTCTACTCTCAAAAGTTAAACAACTGATTTTTAAAATCATTACTAAACACTTTTTTAGTACTTTTTATTGTTTTGCTTTAAAAAGTAAAAAGTAAAAATCACAAAAACAAGAGTCCAAACAACCTGTTAGAGTGCACTGCTGCCGCTTGTATTGATTACCGTCTATGCATTTCACAATCATGGAGAACAATAGCCACTGAGCGGCGGCCTCTGATCACATCCTTGTAAGGATCGACGGTATTTAAAATTGCACCAAGAGCAAAATATGACTCTTTGGTTGAATTCAATTTAGCGACGATGAAAGTTTTGTGTTAATTAGAAACATATGCAAACCTATTCGAAATAAATCAAAAATGGTATCCAAATAGATAGTTCTGCATTGTCACGTTGACCAGTGAGTTCATTGGACAGGGAGAACGAGTTGGTACAAAGCTCACATCATCACAAGCATCAGTTACAACTTGCGATTGGCAAACAAGAAGAAGCAGACAGGCACCGGCACGCACTGACAGCAACATGTACGCGGTTGCATACTTGCAAATTCCGTGTCGCTTACAATACAAGTAGTTCACCATATGATAAGATGCTTCTTCGTTTCCCCTTTTTTCTTTGAAAAATCTGGTTCCTTCACACATGTCTCCCGACCCCACACCAATCCAATCGTATTATACTTAATAGTAGAAAATAGAAAGATACGGGACCACATGTTGAGGCCTCCATTTGCTGTTATTAGTCATGCTGAGTTTATCCTATTTATGGCCAATAATGTTCCATGTGAACGTCTCTTTTTACTTTTTAGTTTACAGCTAGAGGTAGAGATTATGTTCATTTCTTCGATGTAGTTAAAAATAAACTATTTATATCAATTTTTTTATATTATAAATAAGAGGTTTATTTTTAAGGGAAAAATTACCAATTAATCTATAATTCATTGCTAGTTTATGTCTAAATTAAAGGCATTTAGTTGGAATTTTAGTTCTCCTGTTATCCATATTAGCATCTAGTTAACACACCAAAACATTGTTAGCTTCGAACTTTCTATAACTGCAATTGCACATGCTCTTACTGTCTTAAGCTTATCGCCTGTAATTTGACTTTTGTTTTCTCTTACCTTATTTATGCAAACTCCTTTAATTAATATTTAGTTGACTAATTAATGGCTCCTGATTAATTGTATCTAAGCAAATCAGATGTGTCCAACACATGGTCACCGCAGACATGTCTTGGCCTTTCTAAATAAGCAGCCACGATGTGACAAAATGAGGGATTTAGAGTCATACCATCTTGTCAAGAAGATAGTAAATTAAAGAAACAAATAGGGTACAAGAGTTTATAGAAATGCTTATAAAGTGTCGGCTCACAGTCGTGTAGAAACATATCCATCGCCATTTTCTAATATTTTTGGCAAGGAGCTAGGTTGAACTGAACATGTTTGTTTAGTAAATCTCAATAGATGTTTACTGAGCCAATGATTCTGTTAATCTCTTTACGATTAAAACATGTTTAAGTGGTGCATAGATGAATAAAATCCGTCAGTTCCCGTTATTTACGCATAATTTGCGGAATAAGTATCTTTCTTTCTCTAATTACGATAAAAAAGGAAATATTAAGATTGCGGCCGCAAAAGTAGACGAAAAGTGACTGTTAAGATCGAGCGCTAGGACAAAAAAGATAATTACCAGACTTACGGTTGGAGCCCACATAAAAAGAGTGTGCTAAGCTGTCCTATTAGGCAAGCACATAGAAAATTAATTGAAAGCAATCATAGGCCTCATTTGTGTTCCACGACAGCAACATAGACCGGTTCCAATCTGTCAAAGGTAATTAAAGACTCCGATAGATTTCTCCGACAGTTAAAAGTGGTTTAAACAGTGATAACTCCAAAAACAGGACAAGGGGTCTCTCGTCTCGTCTCGTCTCTGTAAAGCCTAAAATAATCTTCACGAAAGTGACCCGTACCAAAGAAGAAAATCATCTCAATCTCCGTTCACAAGTTTTATCAAAAGACACAGTTTCTCAGAACTCCTATTTGCTATATCTTCTTTTCTTTCCTCCACTTTTTCCCCTTATCCTTCAACATAAAAACAAAGACAACAAACTTTTTCTACTGTGGCCACAACTCTAAAAAAATGGTAACTTTGTTGTTTGTCTCAAAATTTTCAGTGTTTTTGTTATTGGGTTTTTGTTTTTCTAATGTGGGGTTTGATTGAATGATTGGTACAGGTTGCGGTAGTGGAGGCTCACGCGAATTCAAATATTGGGGGTCAGTTAAATTCAGGAGTTAATGAGGCTAATCTTTTGAATGGAAGTGGAACGATTTCAAGAACCAACAGTGGTTTTGGCTATGTGTCTTCAACGACTACAGCAATGACTGATGAGCCTTGTGTTTCTTGTACTACTTTTAACATCCTGGCTCCTATCTACAAGCGACTTGATCAAAAGGTGCTGATTTCTGTTCTTGTCCCTTTTGTAGAACCAGACATTATTGTTGATTATTTTTTTTTTCTTTTTTTTTTTTTGAAGAGTTTAAGAATTCATTTGTGTACTTTTTATGTGGTTGTGAAACAGAATCAAAGTCTTCGTGAAAGCAATTTCAGAGCAGTTTGGCTCTCAAGAAACCAGAAGATTTTGAATTGGTTGCTTCAAGAGAGATCTTCAATTATATGTCTCCAGGTGGGTTCTTAATTTCCTTTCGGTTTCTCTGTAACTGTGGATCTAACTTTGTGTGGAAAAATAAAAAGGGTTGTTTATTGCATTTGAAATTTTGCTGACGGGCATCTTTTCCATGATGAAATTTTGGTTTTTTTATTCGTAGGAATTCTGGGTTGGAAATGAGGAACTTGTGCATATGTATCAGCAGAGACTTGGTGATGCTGGCTATGTAACTTTCCAGCTTGCAAGAACCAATAACCGTGGAGATGGTAATTAATTTGCTGTTTAAGCTACTTTTGTTTGAATTCTTCTTGGGCTTAATGTGGATGTTCAAAGCAAGCTACTCTTTTTATGTTCTCATACTTTTCAAGAGACATCTTTGGTCATTACTTTTCAAGAGACATCGTTGGTCATCAGCTTAGGTTGTCTGATTTTGACTATCATTCAATTTCGTGCAAACATAATGAAATTAAAATTAAGCATGGCGTATATTGGTGGATAGCTGACTTCGCAATCAAGTTCTTATCTTTTCTTAAGAGGAACAAATTTTTAGTTGGCAATTCTGTATGATAAAAAATAAAAATAAAAATAAAAATTGTGAAAGACTTTTGTTTTGTTTTGGCAGGCCATGAGGTGGAAAAACAATTGGTCTTTGCAGTGAATCAAATTAATATTTTCGTTTTGCTTATTTGGTAGTCATATGTAAACAGCACTTTGTATGCTATTGCTAACCCTGAGTATGCTAACTTTTTGCTATATGATTTTACTGACCTCCAAGTTAAAAATCCAGTTACATTCCCTGCTGTTATGACCATCCAATCCAACTTGTATAAGTTCATGCTAATCTGATTGCAAATTTATTATTTCCACAGGCCTGTTAACTGCTGTTCGTAAGGACTACTTTACGATTCTAAATTATCGAGAGTTGCTCTTCAATGACTGTGGAGACCGTGTTGCTCAGCTATTGCATGTGCAGCTGGCTTTTCCCTTTTCACAAAACCGGAAAGGCAATGCTCAGCAAGAGTTTCTTATTGTTAACACTCACTTGTTATTTCCTCATGATTCCTGTTTATCCGTAGTTAGGCTGCATCAAGTAAGTAAATCTCTGTTTAGTCACAATCTTTTACTTCTTTCTGAATTTCCAATCCTAGTTCTTCTTAGCTATGTCAGTGCCAACATTTACCTTGAGGTTTCTTGCTGGTCTTTTTCATAGGTTTACAAAATACTACAGTATGTGGAACAATATCAGAGAGAAAACCAACTTAATAATATGCCAATCCTACTCTGTGGGTGAGCTTCTTGTCTTGCTTCCTGAAGTAGATGATTCTTAAATAGCCTCTGAAAATAGACATACCCATCTTCTTTTCGTTTGTTTTATGCTTTATCCAGTGATTGGAATGGAAGCAAGCGTGGACATGTTTATAAATTCTTGAGGTCACAGGGTTTTGTATCTTCATATGACATTGCCCATCAATACACCGACAGTGATGCAGATGCTCACAGGGTAAGTTTCTTCAAGTCCCAATCTGAATGCCTCCAAAATCCACTGCTTACCTCAAATGTTTTTTCCCCATGTCTCCTTCTGCATGACACAGTGGGTGAGCCACCGAAATCATAGGGGTAACATCTGTGGTGTTGATTTCATATGGCTATGTAATCCTAATAAATCAAGGAAATCATTGAAGAAAAGTTGGGCTGAAGCCGTGTTTGGAATTATAAAGGTGAGCTCAATTATTTCTGGAATGTTCTTAATATTTTACTCTTCAGTTCTGTTTTACTACCAAGCAGTTGCCAGCATGTCAGATGATCATTTTACTTTCTCTTTCTGCCAATTTGGTATACTATGCTAGAGAAGAGAAGATGAAAACATGGAATGATATTGTTAAAACAGGAAATAGAAATATAAACTACCAACAAGAGTCAAGATCATTTATCAACTTTAGCTCATATCTTTCTAAACTTTGTGTGTGTCTCAGGAAACATGTTAAATTTTTCAACTTGAGGAGATAGTAGACAGCTATTTTTATTCAGAGAAGGATTGAAAATCCTTTATTATATTTTTTATCTTAAATAATTATTTGGTGGAAGCTTCTTTATGTATATATATATATATATATATATATATATATAAAGACATTGTTGTTTACTGTCAGCTAGTTTAGTTTTTGCAAATCCAACCATGGACCCAAGGAATTTATACCTAGCCAATCTTAATATTCACAGATAATGATGCTTGTTGCAGTATGCACCTGCTATCTGAAATATAAGACATATTAAACTTCACAAAAATTCTAGTCAAGAATTGTTATCATCAAGTTAGTTTCCAAGGCCCTCAAAGTAGATAACCATGTGTCATATGTATGGCTTTGTGCATTGGTTATGCTGTTCAGTTCACAGGTTGCCTTAGCCAACCATTTGATGAGTATTTTCAAGAGGCCTGCACGTCGAATTTCTCAGTATTGCATCAGTGCAAAGTGTTGTGTTAACAATATAGATTAGAAGTTCAACTGAATTGCATTTTACCATCCTTATTTTTACAAATCAAGGGGCATAGAGTTTAGAGGTAGCTCTTTTCTAGCTCTGGTGAAGTTCCCCAATAACATAAATGCATTTTGATTTAGAACTTCACTTAACCATTCTGCTTTCAACATCTGATTGCTGTAATTTTCTTGGTTCCAGTGTCAGCTCCAAAAAGCCTCATTGGTTGAAAATGATGCATTTGCATTTTTAAAGGCTGACAACCATGGCAATTTTATAACGTATTCAGCTTTCTGTGAAGCACTCCGCCAGGTACCACAAGCAGATTGATGATAAACATGCAATTTTAAGTGGAATGATGAACTTACCATAATCTAATCTCATACAGGTAAATTTAATTGGTCTTCCTTATGGACTCAGTTCCCGGGAGACAGAAGATTTATGGATGCAAGCTGACGTTAATGGAAATGGAGTTGTTGAGTATGAAGAATTTAAGGTGCAGTACATCCCTGATCCATAGATATTATCCTAAATTTTAGTAGCATACTTGCTCCTTGACATTTCGCTATGTTAGCTGGTGCATTGCTGTGTTTTAAGTTTACAAAACCAGGCATGTTTATGAATCTTTAGAATCTGTAGAATTCTGCTCCACTTCTCTTATCTGTGTTAGATTGAAATCTACCACTCCATGTATTAGATGTTGCTTGCTAAAATGCTTAATAATTGCAGCGGAGGATTTGGAATTCAGAATGCTCAGAGGTAAGAGAGGAAAATTGCAGTGAGAGGACCGTGGACTCTGAACGGGGCATAGAGGAAGAAGCCATTGGTTTCAATGTCAAGAATGCGGTTCTATTCCCCCGTGAAGCTGAGAAAGGAATGTGGCCAGAAAATTATTCCCTCTCAGATCATGCTCGACTCACTGTTGTGTTTTCTCCCGTAAGAATGCAGTGTTCTCAGCGTGTCACACGTTTGTAGATAATACTGGCTAAAAAAAAAAACTGTGAAGCAGACCAAAAACGTGAAAGTTTGTATATCAGAAATAACTGTTTATGGTGATACATATCTCTAGGGGTAACTGGTTCTGGTCTAGCCTCAGCCAAATTTTTCAGGCAAAGAGAGAACTATGTATCCCAGATTTTTTGGTTTGTCACGTAAAATGCCAAATCAGAACCAGGCTTGCAAAAACCATTCCAAGTGTTGATAAATTTATGAATTTATTTGTGAAGTGCATCCATTTTGGGCTGTATTGATTACTACTATATTCTTCGATTATCTCAAGAATTTTGTCTTCCAAAATGTTATATCACGTCTAGATACAACCTTTTCATGGGTTGCATTTTCATGAATGCTTCTGTTTTTTCCTTTTTTTTTCCCTGAACAATTACCATTGAAACTATTCTGATAAGTTCATGTTTGGTAGTATGAACGCTTGTGACGTGATTTGTTTTGCCAGATGAAAGTGTCAGTTCTTTTTTTCTCATCTCATTTTTTTTCCTCATCTCTTCAAAAGAATTGATTATAATTTACTTATTTTTATTTTATAAATTTCTTAATTTAACTCACAAGCATAAATAAAAATTTTGTTAAGATTTTTTTTTAAAAAAATCAATCAAAAGTAGTTAAAAGGCTATAAATATCATTAATTAAAACTCTCTTTAATGTGTAAAAAAAAATTATAAATATTTCATTTTATACTCAAAATTTATGTATCATTGTAGAAATAAATTTAAAACAATAAAACATATTTTGGATGACAAAAAATACTTTTATCTTTTCATTTTTTAGTTTATTATAATTATTTTCTAGAGAGAAATATCAGAATTTTTTTTTATTTTTCAAAATTTTATTTATTTAAATTTGATTAAAAAATTAATATATGGCGCCATCTTGTGGAATAAATAATGGGATTTAACACTTTTAACTTATAAAGTAAACAGAAGGACAAAATTAAGACAAAAACGAAATGTAGAAGAATGAATTTAAAAAATAAAATAAATAAATAAAAATAAAAAGACTCAAGAAAGACAAAAAAAAACTTTTCTCTAGTCCTTTCAAATTCTATATGCTCACCACCGACATCCCGGGAGTCCGTGCAACTCATCTTCTCATACTGGTCCATTGATGGTACTGACTTGTTCTCTGACGAATGAGGCTGGCTTTGATTTCAGATAAGACTTGGACCAGAAAAATAATTGCTAATACTTACAATTTCGCGGCCGAGCACACAGTCCTGGTGCTGTCATTTTTTGGAGTTTCTACTATTGTAGGCTGAGTTGGTGAGCCTAATTGTCAGCTCGTGTGAGCTGGGCCTTCTGAAAATGGGCCAAAAAATGGGTTTGTTTTTCTATCTTCATTTACTCTGTTTCTGAGCTCGTGTCAGCTCGTTGTTGATTCATTTCATTTATTTATCTAATTTTTTTGCATACTTAATCTGCATTGTATGGTCCCTATTAGTTTGGCGATGAAGTTTTACATGACAACAAAAGAAAATCCATCCGCTATGTCTTTCTTTATAAAGAATTAAACTCCCAATTTGTCAGGTTATTTAAAAGTTAATATTTAATTCCAATTCCATTCGATATTACCACAACCCAGGTAATAAAGGAGACACTATCAAGCGAATATTCTAGAGGATTGTAGAAGATTGCAAGAATTGAAGGGTTTTTGAGTGGGGCCCGAATAACTTGCGAAGCAAGTTGGACTTCAAGTCCAGAGTGACACCGCTTTCCAAAAATGCACAATGCTTGTCTTAATGTCTCCTATTTGCCTTTTAGAAGTGTGAAATTGAGCTTTAACTTAGATGCTTTTCAGCCGGCAAATTTTTTATTTGACTTTTCTTCTTCTTCTTCTTTTTTGGGACCTACCACTTAATTTGTAGGTATAATTTTCTTCGAGTTTTATATTTTAAGATATAAAAATATTAATAAAAAAATTTTGAAATTTTATTTTATATTTTGAAAAGGGTCGACTCAAAACTTTCATAAAGTCTAATAACATTTTGTTTTTGCGTTAATATATAATAATTTAAGATTCATTTGCACGTATAATATGAAAAAAAAGAATACACTTATCTAAGACATACAAGACCAAATTTCTTCTGCAATATGACTCACTGAAACTATAAAAAAATTTGTCAAATCTCTTCTTTTTTTTTTTTTTTTTTCCCGTAACAAAAGGTATGATTTAGTTTGATGTTAATAAAATAACTGTATTTAAAAAAAAAAAAAAATCTAAACTCGGGTCGGTTGGTGGGACCCACCCCTTGAGTGTAATCCAATCACTTCAACTTCTTCTCAAGGAAGTAGTAGTGGTAGTTACCTTTTAATTTCTGTCTATCTTTCAAATATTAAAAGGCCGCCACATCAGCACACGCTGCTATTTCACGACAACTTCTACGAGGGGGGTATTGACTCTCTGTTCTATAGAGAATCTCTAGCTTCTCCAATATATACTCCCAACGGTCTTATCAAACTCACCACTCACTACAAGAATGCCCCTGACCGCTTGCTGCTGATCCTTCCTCTGCTAATCATCAAGCTCCTCAGTCCTCTCGTGTATCTTTCATTTTCAATCCTCAAATTAATCAGGTCTTTCTTTCCTGTTTTAGGAAGAGGAATGAATTACAAGTGCCCATCAGGTGAGTTTTTTTTCTTTTTTCTTTTGCCTTCTGCGACAACTGTGATGATTATTGCCTTCTTAATCTTCCTCTAATTGTATTTTGTATTTTGTTTTTGTTAGTTATGGCAATCCCAATAAAGCCAATGCCGTCCATACCAGCAGTTGGATATAGGTTTCATCCAACCAATGAAGAATTAATTGATAGTTATTTGAAGCCAAAGGTGCTCGGTTATGAAGTGCAAGGCTTACTCATCTTGGCCGAGGTTAATGTTTGCAAACATGAACCCTGGGATCTACCTGGTAATTAATTTTACATGTGTTCGTCTTGTTCTTTGTTTCTTGTTTCTGTCACGATATTGGATTAACGCAGTAATTATTATTGATGGTGATGTAGATATATCGAGCATAAAGTCAGATGATCAGGTGTGGCATTTCTTAAAGTCAGATGATCAGGTGTGGTATTTCTTTTGCCGTCGCGATTACAAGTACAAAAACAGCAAACGCTCTAACCGGAAAACAGAGAAAGGATTTTGGAAACCAACCGGCAAAAGTGTTAAAATAAGGGCTAAGCGTACCAAGAAGTTCATTGGTACAAAGAGGACTTTAGTTTTCTATGAAAAAGCTAGTCCTAAGCCTGTGAGGACTCAATGGATAATGCATGAATACGAGTACATTTCTGATTCAAGCCTATTTAATCAGGTAAATGCAAAAGAATTTATAATTCAGCGACATGGTGTCTGAAGAGTAGTTAGTTTTGTCTTGTATTATGTTGTTCTAATAGAGGTCTTAATCTTTTTACTAGAACATTGCTTAAATGCAGATTTGAATTAATTTGTTACAATTTCTTGCGAAATAACCCAAGTTGTGGTTATCATTTCTACGAAATTGGAAACTTGGATGTTAATCTGGTCATTAACTTTTTCCTCAATTTATAAGACCTCATTATCATCTTGAGTTGTAGGAAATGGTCATTTGTTTGTAGTCAAGTAATTTTGGTTTCATGAGTTCTGTTTGTACAATTTTTCTTTGAATGTTTGGTGATGTAGGCTCCCTGTTGCAGTGATGCCTTTAGAAATTTACTTTTGCTAGTGTATGCTGTCATGTCCAAATAATTCACTCAATGGCTCAAGTTTTTCTGTTATAACATGTGCAGGGAGGATACGTTCTCTGTAAATTGAAGAAAAAATCAAATGTAAAGACCCATAAACGTGAACCCAAGCACTGTTTGGCTTCCGTCTCTAATTTTGAAGCTGAACCAAGCTGCAGTATGGCTTCTGATTTTGAAAATCAAAATCATAGTGAGTTGACGGCGAATTCAGCTTGTGTTGAAAGTGAATCAAGCCACCATCTGGCTTCTGATTTTGAAAATCAAAACTCAAATGAGCTGATGTCTAATTCAGCTTATGATGGAAGTGGGTTATGCCACTCCATGACCTCTAATTATGAAAATCAACATCCAAATGAGCAGATAGTTAATTCAGCTTATAATGGAAGTGAACAAAGCCACCCCATGGCTTCTGATCATGAAAAACAAGACCCAATAGAGATGACTCCTATGTCACCCTTTGATAATTTGCTGATGGCTTCTGATTTTGATGATCCATTATCACCCCTCCAACTTGAAGGTGAATGCGATCCTTCCTTGCAGATGCCTTCTAAGCTTACAAGTTACTCAACCTATGGTACAGGTGCAAGTAGTATCCTACTGGCTTCTGATTTTGAATATCAAAATCAAGACAAGGAAACCAATATACCAGCTTCCAATGAAGGTGGAAAGAGTTCTCTTACTATGCCTTCGGATTTGGAAAATCCAAATCCTCAGGAGAAGATTGATATGTCAACCCTTGAAGAAGCTTCTTTGCATTCCTCAACAGTTTCACCAGAATATAGTCCGGCAGATGCCTCGCTTCCAGAGTTTCCAGAGGTTAGAAATTAGAATTAGCTCGCCTTGCATATTCTTTTTAATCTCAATCTCGTGGAGTTTAAGTACATTACAAATAGCTCATTCTTACATCAGAACAATGCTTCTTGCAGCTAAGCCCTCAACTATGGGCAGAATTGGATGCATACCTAGCGCTAGAGGAAAGCCTGAACCTCCACTCCAGCCACCAGCATCCGCAAGCACTGAGGAAGTCCCTCCAGACAGAGTCTTTGGTACCCCTGTCAACTTGAACAGATGTTTGCTGGCCTATGGATCTGCATCCTTAAGTTCCTATTTGGTAACCAATAACATAATAATCCAACTGAAAGACTCAACAGAGTTACTACATGGCTAATATGTTGCTGTAATTGTTCGGATCCTTGCATGGTAGCTCATCTGCACATTTCACTGTCTTTATGGTGGATCCTTCTGAGTTCGAGTTTATCCAGTCCGTGCAGCCTCAGGATGCTAATCCCCTAAATACAGCCTATGCCCTCCAAAATCTGCAGCTATATTCAAAGCAAGATTGTTCTAGTAGTAGTAGAAGATCCAAGTGTTTTGTCCGAGAAATCTGATGCAATTGTTGTCCGGTACTGAAGAAATTAAATTGGAAGTACTTTGTAATTTCTATATATAGTTAGTTGGTAGTTATAGCTACAAGTTACTTAATGTATGAAGGGGGTTTTAATAAAGTGAAAACGGCTCGTATGGGCATTGTATCGATGTATCTGTTGTGTTTTAAAATGTTGAGCAAAGAGTACGTTTATATGTTTAATTGATCTATTCCCGTTCTGATATCTTATGTTTTTCAAATGTCGGGACTGCTAATTTGTGAAAGTGAAATAGTGATAAAATGTTATAATTATGAGCTGAAAGTTAAGAAATACAAGATCAATATGATGCATCTGTTCAACATTGAATACAGGCAATCAACTTTCTGTCCTGGAGTATGGTGGAGTCGTGATTGATTTGTTTCATGCTAGCGGGTTAGATATACCAATAGAGCAATATAAAGGGCTTATAACCTCTAGCATGTTTGATGCAAATTGCATATCAGAACCCAGCGCCAGGGGCCTCTGTTCGGCACTCTGCTCCCGCAAATTTCAGTAGTAGGGTTGGCTGGTCATTCTTTAATTGTGCTTTCTGATAGACAATGTACCTTGTCATTAATCTTATAAAACCATTAAACCCTTTTATTGTTTACAGCATTCGTGAAAATAAAGTAAGTTATGCAGTTACTCGTGTCATCATGTGATCACGTCAGAGCGATGCAGCTCATTGTTAGGGGAAAAAAAAACTTGGAATCATGAACACTTGGTGATGTCATATTAAAAAACCGTATCGATAAATTGTTAGTTGAAATTGCAAAAATAAGAAAACATGTCAAATTAATGTGGTTCAAAAAGAAAAAGTAAAGAAGCTTGTGAAGTAAGTGAACTGGATATGGAGGTTTCCCTGTTTAGGTTCGAAAAAATGCGGAACCTTACATATTTTGGACACGTTTGTTTGAGTACGGAAACCCCGATAGACATGGAAAAGGATACTGGTAGAGAGAGAGAGAGAGAGTATTGAGCAAGGACCCTGGTAAATCATGAACATGTTAATCCTACTTTTCAACTTTATATGCTACTGTTATTAGTATGTATAAACATTTTTAGAAGTTGTAGCCATTTTAAGTGATCCGTTTCTCATCCGTAGCTAAATTGTGTCTGGACACAGCACAAGCACGCATGCCTGACAATCACCACTATTACCAATCGTTTCCTGCTCGTTCTAACGTGACAAAACAGTGCGATGTGATGATGTCACTATATCACAACCAAAATCTACTGATTTGCAATATATTAAGCAAAGATGTCACAGAAGCAATCAAGAATTTGAGTTTTTTTTTTTTTTAATGCGATTTGATCGACTAATAACGTGTTTGGGAGGATTGAATCTTAGATTGAAAAATAAGAATATGTTTGGTATGAAGATAAAGAAGATAAAAATAATTTTTTTATCATCTTCACTGATGTTTGGCACACTTTTGAGAGGAGGGGAAGATTTAAAGGAAATGTTAACCTGAAGGAGGGGCAGTTAAAAGGATTTTCCAAAGGGGAAATTTTTTGAATTTTGTGTCTTCTCCATTTTTTTTTTTTTTTTTGAATTCGCCACTTATTTTCTCTTTTTACTTTCATCTTAAATTTAGAAATACTAATATTTATTATTTAGTTTTTTCATAATTTTATAGGAAAAACATCAAATAGACCATCAAACTATTGGGATACTATTAATTTTGCATCAAAACTCTATTGTGTATTCATTTTACCACTAAATTATTTTGATTTTTCAATTAAGAACTTATCCTAGAATCATTTTTAAAAAACATTAAGTTGTTTACAAAATAACATTGTTTCTTGTATATAAAAAAAGAGTACAATTTAGATGGAAATATAAACGAAAAGTCTTAAAAATTAATGAAAATACTTAATTGAGAATTTTAAAAATTTTAAAGTAAAATTAATGTAAAAAATTATTTGGAGGTAATATTGAGATTACTAGCAGAGGTGGAGGTGGTATTTTTGAGGTTTGTCCAATCTTAGTTTATTCAATAAGGACTCACTATACATATAATTTTTTAAAAAAACTTACACCAAATATCCTTAGTACTTCATCTAACTTTTTTACACCCTTAACGTTTCACCGTAAAATAATGGATTATGAAAAAGAAACTAAATGAGATAAATTGAAAAAGGTTAAACAACTTTAATCGTTTAAATATGTGGTTTCGAGTTTGATTCTTTATATATATATATATATATATATATAATTCTTTAGGTAGCTCTCTTTATTTTATGCGCTTGACGGAATAATGAGAGATTAGTATGAATTTTTAAGCTTGAAATTCCTTAAAAGATTAAAAAAAAAATGTAGAGATTGCTTGATAAAAAATAAAAAATAAAAATTTTATTTTCGTATTTGTATTTTTGTTTGAAAATAGTTTCTCTGGAGTGTTCATAATATTGGTAAAAAAATTGAACCATAGGCAAAATTATACTTTCAAAAACGTAGCCTCTTACAAAAAATAACCTCTTTTCTTATTTTAAAAAATTATTGAATATGAAATGAGTTATTTTCTCCTTTCATATAAATATAAGATCCATTACAAAAATTATTGATAGATTACACGATTATGTAAACGAGACGAGTGCTTCAATTCTTTTCAATTTTACCACTTTCAAACATATGGAGGAAAATCATTTTCTAATCTGGTAATTTTTTTTTCCCTCTCTTTTTTAACCAAACACAAAGTAAAAGCAAAACAAAAACAAATTAACGAGTATTGGAGTATATAATATTGACTTACATCGGACGCTATTCGTGATTGTTCGAGAATGTTCTAACATGTTTAAGGAAGTTAAGTGGAGTCCAAAGACCTTGGATTGGAAGTTGGTTGTGGAATTCAAGTTCTCACTTTTTGATCTTAGCGCGTCGCCTCCTAGTGGCTGGAGAAATGAGCATCCCTTTTTCCCAACGAAACGAATCGGACAAGAAAAGAAGCATTTTTTTAGAGTGCATGAGCATTAAATGCTCTTGAGAAAAATTAATGCATTATTACGAAAATAAAATACCCTAAAAACATAAGAAAATTTTTTACTTTTTAATTCATTTCAATATGTAAATTTTAATTAATTTTTTGGTTCTACATCATGGTTGTGATAAATTAAAAATTTAACCATAATTCGAAGATATAATAATTATAAATAAAATGAAAGAATAAGTTAGAGATTTGATTTTTTTTTTTTTTTATCTTTCAAGGTAGAATATCTTATTCCCAAAAACATAAATTAATCTCTCATTGTTTTTAACATAAATAAAAATTAAAATTCGAGACTATTTGTTTAAATAATTAGAATCCTTCAAGCTTCAGTTTAGAGTAACCCTCTTGGTAGAGACTTACTTTATTATTAAATACAAATTAAGTAATTAAAACTTTATTTATTTCTTGTTTTGGTGAAAAAAGTTGCTGCTATACTATTATGGATTGTGCTATTTGGCTATAAATTGATGGATATATAAGACAGTACGGACATAGAGGCACGGTTAAACATGGGACCCACTTACATTAGAGACCAATGGCTTTGGAATGACGAACTTCTCAGTGAAGTAGATTCTGTGCGGGAACTTAGGGTCGATGTCTTGGATATAGAAGCACACAGAAAACGGTATGTCACCTATATATATATATATATATATATATGGAACGCACACCACCTTCTTCTGCGCACCAACAGCTCCCTTTTCTAGTAATTACTTCCCTCTATGCTTCGGTTTTCTCTTACAAAATATAGAATTATTCTTTTACTTTGCGTTGCATTTCTTATTCATCTTTTTAGTAACTACTGATCATGATCATCTTGCATTCTCTGATGCTTTAGTAACTTTGTTTTATTTAATTTGCTTTAATTTTCTTTTAGTTATAAACGAGCCGATCAATCAAAGGTGACAAGCAGAGCAATGTCTTCACAAACTCCGGTGGGCTATGGATTTCATCCAACCGATGAAGAATTGGTGAACCATTACTTGAGGTTCAAAATGCATGGTGGCTATGAAGAAGAAGTCAGCAGAATCCCCGAAGTTAATGTGTGCGATTATGAACCTTGGGTGCTACCTAGTACGTGTTCATGCGTGTCTTGTGCAATGTTCTTGATCCCTTCCCTATTTTTCCTCGTTTTCTAATTTGTAATTGCCAATTAACAAAAGATCATTTTAATGTATACGCAGGCCTGTCTGTAATTCAGTCAAACGATCCAGAGTGCTATTTCTTTTGTCCTCGTAATTACAAGTACGTAAACAGTCAACGGATTAATAGGACAACTGAAGCTGGATACTGGAAGGTCACAGGCAAGGATCATAAAATCAAAGCTAAATCCACCAAGGAGCATATTGCTACCAAAAAGATTCTAGTTTTCTACAAGGGTCGTTTTCCTAAAGGGGTCAAGACCAATTGGGTCATGCACGAGTACCATCCAAATTTCAACTTCGGTAGCGAGGTACCATTGCTGCACTTCTTAAGTTGTTTCATAGTATTTTCTTCTCTCTGTTCATTCTAAACAAGAGACTTGAATTTGGGGGGCATAATCACCAACAGTGCTCCTTGGCACTTGTGTTGAAAATTTTGGTGTTGAATATCAGTTATCTAAAATGGTTAATGGTAATACCTGAAGTACTCTTTTCCCCTGTATATTCGAGGGATTTTGTTTTATTTTCTCAGAAGCTTGTTCTCTCTCTCTCTGTTTTTTTTTTTTTTTCCTCCTTCGATTTCCATATTGATTAATAGAAATTTAATTATGCTATGAAAATTTGGTTTGTTCACTTTGCGTAGAGGGACTTCGTTCTCTGCAAACTCAAGAAAGATCCAGATGAGATCATTCCAACATATGAAGAAGGCGAGTCAAGTTTCAATGTTACTTCTGGTTTTGAAAATCAAAATTCAAATGAGTGTTATTATCCCTCAACCTTTGAAGAAAGTGAATACGGTGCCCGGATGGCTTCTAATTTCACAAACAGTGAGCCAGAGGTGAGAAATAGCACGAAATGTATAAAAGACAGTTTTTTGCTGCAAGTTATTCCATGTATAATAAGAATATATATCAAGAACTTGTGTTTCGTTTACAGGATGACAGTTATCAAGTTCAAGCACAGCTGCAATCATTCCATGGCTTTGATGAGGGAGATTATAACCTGAACTCTGCCCTACAGTTTTCATATGGGAATATGTACTGAGAAAAGCCTTCTCCTGCAATGGGTTTTCTATCATCTATGTTTGTCAGTGTTTGCTATATATATAGTATTGTAGCTAACTTTATGTCCTTAAGTTACTATTTTGAGTTTTAATAGCATATTGTATTTGTATAAAACCTAGCTAGGACCAACAGAGTTCATATTTTGTACGTATTGGGTGTGGCTGAGCATATTGATTTGCCATGGGAACAACTTGCCTCAAGTAGTTCTCTAAGGTAAACCTTGTTTTGTTTCTTCAGAGTGGAATTTAATGCATTTCAAGTGTGTTCTGTTTTGTTATTCGTTTACGAACCTTGACGTTGGTCAGTGAAATTTCTCAAGAACGTGCATTTCTTAAAATTGTCTTTGGCTTGTAACTCAAGGTCTATATCTATCTCAAAACCTATGCCTTTGGATCAACGCCGCATATCGCAGGTTCTATATGGGGTCCCACATGAAAAATAACCACATCCAGATGAAGAAAACCAAATATGAGTAATATCAATGTTGGAAACATTCCTGTGAACTCCAATTAATTGTACGATTCTTTCTCAACAAATTTGACATTTTTTATGACCATATCTCGTATGAAATATATAAATTAATAAAAATATATTAGTATATAAAATTGAAAATAATTCATTTAATACAATCTTTATTTATTTATTTATTTTTATGAAATCCTGCCTCAACATGTTTATATATAAATAAACCGTAAAAATAAAAAGTTCAGATTGAAAATTATAGGGTACAAGAATGTGAAAAAGAAGAAAGAAAGGGGAGGGAAAAAAGGAAATAAAAAAAAAACTAAAAAAAAACAAAGGCGTTGTCGTGGCACAGAGGACTAGCTAACATTTATATGTAATCACAGATGATTTTTTGGTTAGGGTCAGTCGATTCTTTAAAAACAATTATTGTTTAAATGGTGTTTTTTGCATGGAAGGTTTTATTCTCACTTCAAATTTTGTTAATCTACTTTTATTATTTAAAAAACAATTATTGTTACATTTTTATCTAGAAAATTTAGCTAAAATAAAAGTCTTCCCCTTTGTAATTAAGATCTCCAATTGTATCCCCCCCCCCCAAGATCATTACGTATCACCAAAAATTATTTCTTTGTAAAACTTTGTTGGTCATTTCACCTTTTTTTCCTTCTCAAATTTTTTTTTTTTGTATTTCCAAATATTATCCACCAATAAATTATTTTTTAAAAAATATAATAAAGAAACTAAAATTTAGAAAAAATCAATTTTTATATATTTTTTATTTGAATTAATTTTGAATTTTAATAATGCACATTATGCTGAATTGTCTCTAGTATTTAAATATGTTTGTGATGTTTAACAATTAATAAGGAAAGTCTTAGGACAGATTTAATCCTGCATAATTTTGACAAATATTGAAGTACTTGAATTTTTAAGGAACGGGGGAATTTATGATGAAATGGATAGTTTGGTTGCTAGTTGCTACCCTAGGTCGTCATGGAAAAGTCTCTCTCACATGCTGCTGGATATACTTAATTCGTTTGTTCTCATATGCATGGATTTATATCTGTTTTTTTGCCCTTTAAAAGTTGCATGGAAACTCTCTTTCTTATCCCCTTTTACATGGTGTAAGAGATTTTCTAGAGATAAGGCAACTTTCTTTAAATTAAAAAAAGAAACTATTAATTGATAAAATTATGTGAAACTCACTCGAATGTATATAGATCTTTTTGAGTTTCTTTACGACAATTATCTCTGAAGTCAAAAATTCAAAACGATATTTCTTCCTCATCTTGTTCCTTTCTTGAGGAATAAAATGATTTTCAAATAGAACTAGGATTCCACTGGCGGCTTCGTGAACTTAAGTAGGAGACTATCAATGGATTTGTTTCAATAAATAACATCTAAACAGGTTTGGATCCTACTAGTAGCTTCATCTATATACGTAGAAAGTTACGGACGAGTTTCATTTCATTGAATAATAAAAATAAATATGTTTCAAGACCATTGGCAACTTCATCCATTTAAGTAGAAAGTCATCGATGGTTTCGTTTTAACAAACAGCAAAACAAATAAATAGGTGTGGATGCCACTCGATAGCTTTATCTATATACCAAAGGCTTTGTTTTAACGAATAGCTAAACAGATTTAAAAACCATCGACAACTTCATTTCAATAAATAACAAAATAGCTAAACATGTGTTGGCAATCAATGTTGGCTTCATCCGATTAAGTTGAAAGTCATTGCCAATTTTGTTTCAACGAATAATAAAACAACTAAATAGGTTTGGAAGCATTAGCGACTTCGTCTATATAAATAGAAAACTTATCGACGACTTCGTTATTTATTCAAGGCATCACTAATTACAAAGAAACTAAAATAAGTGAGGGTTTTGAATAGTGATTTTTCATTGTTCATTCACTCACAATTCACTATTCATTTATTGTAGCTTAGGTTTTTTTTTTCTATAATTTTTAAGTTGTTTCATTTCGGTTCTTAAAATTTAAAATATAAATTTTAATCCCCTAACTAGTGCACTACACATGCTTTTATTTTTCTTTATTTTTTTTCGTCAATTTATGTTCTTTTTTTCATTTAACTATGTGTTGAAATTTTTAAAAATCAATCGTTATTTTTTTCTACACAAACTAACGATTATATAATATATACGATATATTTTTTGATTTAATAATAAATATATATTACTCTTATTGTTTAATTACATATTTCATTCTTTGAATTTATTGTTTTTTATAAAAATTCTCATCCAATTAATATTTTTATATAAAATTTTATTTATTGATAAATATAATTTATTTTTCTCTATGTTTGAATTTTAGAATAAAATTTTAAAATATGATTGTTTTTTCTTTCTTAAGAAATAAATTGGTATAATATATATCATGAATTCGTAAAATTTTTAAATGATAGTTGCATATATATAAATATATAATTATTTTATTCTAAAAAGTTAAAATTTTATTTCAAATAATTTATCTCAATTCACTAGGTATGGTCAAGACGTATTAAAAAAATATTGAATCATTTTTTTAATTAAAAATTAACTATACATCTTCGAACATAATACAAATTATTTACTATGAATATTTTTTTTAATATTATAAAACCAATTTATTTGAAATAAAATAATTTTTTAAAGGAACCAACCAATTATTCAAATACCTTTTTATGCTAATTTTATTGATTATTTTGTAAATAAATATATATAGATCAAATGCATATATTTTTAAAAAATAATCTTCTCACTAACATTAAATAAGAATAAAATTTTATTTTTTCATTAGGTAATTTTTATATCAGTTTATACATTAATTGTAACTTTATTTTTTAAATACATTCTTATAAAAAATATATATTTTTAAAGGCTTTTTTTTAATTCTTAATTAATATTTCGGGTTTAAATTATTACAAGTTTTTATTTAAGAATCACTTAACAAAGAAGAATAAATCATGTTTTTTTTTAAACAGAAATTTTATGAAACACACACACAAAAAAAAGTAATAATTAAATAAAAAACTTAATGAAAAAAATTATAAAAATTTGAAATGATTTTATTCTACCTACCTTCGAGTTGCGATGATAATTTCAAAAATTAATTTTCTCATCAATATTAAATAAGAATTTTTTTTTCATTTGTTAATTTTTATAAAAGTCTATCCATTAATTATAACTTTATTTTTTGAAATATAATATTATGAAAAAAATATTTATAATTTTTTTTAATTCTTGATTAACATTTTAGTTAAAATTATTATAATTTTTTATTTTAAAATAAATTCATAAAAAAATTATTTATTTTTAAACAAAAAAAATTTATGAAAAACATTAGAAAAAATTAATTAAATAAAAAATTATAAAATGATTTTTTTCTATTAAATCTGTAGGGTAACATGGATAATCGACTAGTACTATCTAAGCAATTTTGTTTTTTTCATAATTTTATTTTATTCTACACTCCCGTAAAGATTCCGATCATATTTGTCTTGGTAAACAATATTTTTTTAAGGAATTTGTATTTAAAAAACAAAATCAATTTGAAAGATGCGACATGATACGATAATGACTGATATTCTCCTAAAATTTTGGCTCAAATTTCTTAGTTCTTGATGACAATAATTACCAATTTATTTTTACCATGTGCTAACAATTTCTCATGTTTAAAATGCAAATAACTAAAGTGGCACCCATCACGTCCTGGTTTCTTCTACTTCGCATTCAACAATGGCTCTCTAAAATTCTGCAATCAACACTCACAAAAACTCTCCATAAAAGTCTCTCCAGCACCACCACCGCCACCAGTAGAACTCCCTTCAATGCCATCTCCTCCAGTTCCAGTCCCAATTCCAGGCGACATCGTGTCATCTTCTCCTGCATACCCGTGGCCATTCCGTCCTCGAGATGAAACAGCCTTCTCCCCTGCTCCTGCACCTGGTGGTAGTGCTGCAAGCTCCAATGGCAACAGTGCCAACATTGATGCCAGATAAAGGTGGCGGTAGCGGCGTGCCTTTTATTAATAGCAATCCGGCTGTTCCTCTGTCTACTGGGGAAATCGATTCTGCCACTATTAGGTCCTTGCCCGCCTCCAGCCATCATCAACTGGTATTTCGTCTCTCCCTTTATGTCTACTTATTACTATGAATTTATAATTTGCATGGAATACACTAATTAATGCGATAAGTTACGAATTGGCGAGAATTCCCCATTTTTGTCTATATATATGAGGCAATAAAATTGGTCTTTCGATTTCTTTTTAAAATTGTGTTCTCAGTAATATCTTTCTTAGAGAAATTGAACAAAAAATGTAAAAACGAAAGATTTATAGAGCTTTTTCTACACAAATTAAAAGAGAATGGTACAATTCTGAATAAAAGCCATGTGTCTATATGCAGGGATAATGGAGTAAATTAAAAATTAGTCCCTCTAATTTCAAAAAATAAATAAATAAATTTCTCTTATTTTAAAAATTATACATTTAGTCTTTATATTTTTTTTATTTTCTTGTAACTTAATTATTTTTTTAATTTTTTATTTTAAGAAATTAAAAAAGGTAATTTAAAAAAAATAACTGAAAAAAGATGAAATTTCATGAAATAAAATAATATTTAAATAATTATCATCAACACTAATAAAAAAATTAAATAATTTTTTTTAAAAAAATAAAGAGACTAATTTATAATTTGCTGATTAAGTGATCATCTGATATAGATACTCAAGCAGTAAAGTGTCATTCAATTTTTTTTTTTTAATGTAAAAGGAATGTTTTGTGTTTTATTGGACTGGTCTTGACGAGGGTGTTTCACCACGGGTTGTTCTTTTTGGTTTTGGGTGGAAATGCAGGTGGCAGTGGGGTTACTTGGATCTCACATGCCTCTATTTTGTGTGCTTTTGCTGCTGCTGTTGCTGTAAAATAGAGGAGAGGCAGAGCAATTTGTGTAAAAAAATCGGTTTTGAGTAGGATACAATATGCATCAAGTACTGTAGTTGAAAGAGTCTAAAGTAGCTTTAGCGGTGATGATGATAATGATTATGTATTATTATGCCATGTATTGTGATGCCCCTCTTGAACCCTACTCTGGAATCATTGACACTTTTGGTCTTTTGCTTTTTGACATGCAATCGATTAAATTTGCAGAATTTTCCATCTCACAAACTTTCATATTTCAATTGTTATGATATCTAGAGGCCTTTGGTTATGCTGTTCCGTTCACAGGTTGCCTTAGCAAACCATTTAATGAGTATTTTCTAGAGGCCTGCACGTCAATGTCTCAGCGATGCATCAGTGCAAAGTGTTGTGTTCACAATATAGATTAGAAGTTCAACTGAGTTGCGTTTGACCATCCTTATTTTTACAAATCAAGGGGCATAAAGTTTAGAGGTAGCTCTTTTCTGGCTCTGTTGAAGTTCCCCAATGACATAAATGCATTTTGATTTAGAACTTCACTTAACCATACCGCTTTCAACATCTGATTGCTGTAATTTTCTTGGTTCCAGTGTCAGCTCCAAAAAGCCTCATTGGTTGGAAATGATGCATTTGCGGTTTTAAAGGCTGACAACCATGGCAATTTTATAACATATTCAGCTTTCTGTGAAGCACTCCGCCAGGTACCACAAGCAGATTGATGATAAACATGCAATTTTAAGTGGAATGATGAACTTACCATACTCTAATCTTATACAGCTAAATTTAGTTGGTCTTCCTTATGGACTCAGTTCCCGGGAGACAGAAGATTTATGGATGCAAGCTGACGTTAATGGAAATGGCGTTGTTGAGTATGAAGAATTTAAGGTGCAGTACATCCCTGATCCATAGATATTATCCTAAAAATTTAATATGTGTCGCATCTTGTGGAATAAATAATGGGATGTAACACTTTTAACTGATAAAGTAAACAGAAGGATGAATTGAGAGTTAAGACAGAAAGAAAACGTAGAAGAATGAATTTAAAAAATTAAATAAATAAATAAAAGTAAAAAGACACTAGAAAGACGGAAAAAAAAAAAAAAAACAATCTTTCCTCTAGTCCTCTCAAATTCTATCTGCTCCCCACTGACATCCCGGGAGTCCGTGCAACTCGTTTCCTCATACTGGTCCATTTATTGTCCTGACTTGACTTGTTGCCTGAGGAATGAGGATGGCTTTGATTTCATATTAGGGTTGGGCTAGTAAAGTAATTGCCAATGCTTACAATTTCGCTGCCGAGGAAACAGTCCTGGTGATAGCATTTTTTGGAGTTTCTACTATTGTAGGCTGATGAGTTCGTGAGCCCAAGTGTCAGGTCGTGTGAGCTGGGCCTTCAGAAAATGGGCCAAAAACATGGGTCTGTTTTTCTATCATCTTTTACTCTATTTCGTTCGTTGTTGATTCAGTTCATTTATTTATCTATTTTTATCCTGATCATCTAATTCTTGCATACTTAAATCTTTATTGTATGGTCCCTATTAGTTTTTATTAATGAAGTTTTTGCATCACAACAGAAGAAAATCCATCCGCTATGTCTTTCTTTTTAAAGCATTAAACTCCCAATTTGTCTGGCTATCTAAAAGTTAATGTTTAATTCCAATTCCATTCTTTATTTCACAGTAGATTACCAGCTAATAAAGGAGACGCTCTCGAGCGAATGTTCTAGAGGATTGTAGAAGATTGCAAGAATTGGAAGGTTGTGGAGTGGGGCCCGAAAAACTTGCAAAGCAAGCAACTTGGGCTTCAAGTCCAGAGTGATACTTCTTTCCCAAAATGCACAATGCTTTTCTCCTATTTTGCTTTTAGAAGTGTGAAATTGACCTTTAACTAAACTCGGCTCCTTCTTTTTCTCCAACAAAACATCTCCTTTAAAATTCTAATTTAAATTTTTGTTGGCTGCTTTCAGTCGGCAATTTTTTTATTTGACTTTTCTTCTTTCTTTCTTTTTTTTTTTCGGACCTACCACTTAATTTGTAGTTATAATTTTCTTCGAGTTTTATATTTTAAGATATAAAAATTTTGGTGTTAATAAAAAAAATTTGAAATTTTATTTTATATTTTGAAAAGGGTCGACTCAAAACTTTCATAAAGTCTAATAACATTTTGTTTTTGCGTTAATATATAATAATTTAAGATTCATTTGCACGTATAATATGAAAAAAAAGAATACACTTATCTAAGACATACAAGACCAAAATTCTTCTGCAATATGATGCACTGAAACTATAAAAAAATTTGTCATCTCTCTCTCTCTCTCTCTCTCTCTCTTTTTTTTTTGTAACAAAAGGTATGATTTAGTTTGATGTTAATAAAATAACTGTATTTAAAAAAAAAAAATCTAAACGCGGGTCGGTTGGTGGGATCCACCCCTTGAGTGTAATCCATTCACTTCAACGTCTTCTCAAGGAAGTAGTAGTAGAGGGGTACCTTTTAATTTCTGTCTATTTTTCAAGTATCAAAAGGCCGCCACATCAGCACACGCTGCTATTTCACAACAACTTCTACTAGAGGGGTATTGCCTCTCCGTTCCATAGAGAATCTCTAGCTTCTCCAATATATCCTCCCAACTCTCTTGTCAAACTCACCACTCAATAGAAGAATGTCCCTTACCGGTTGCTGCTGATCCTTCCTCTGCTAATCATCAAGCTCCTCAGTCCTCTCGTTTATCTTTCATTCTCAATCCTCAAATTAATCAGGTCTCTCTTTCCTGTTTTAGGAAGAGGAATGAATTACCATTCCCCATCAGGTGAGTTTTTTTTTTCTTTTGGCTTCTGCGACGACTGTGATGATTATTGCCTTCTTAATCTTCCTCTAATTGTATTTTGTATTTTGTTTTTGTTAGTTATGGCAATTCCACCAAAGACAATGCCGTCCATACCAGCAGTTGGATATAGGTTTCATCCAACCAATGAAGAATTAATTGATAGTTATTTGAAGCCAAAGGTGCTCGGTGATGAAGTGGAAGACTTACTCATCTTGGCCGAGGTTGATGTTTGCAAACATGAACCCTGGGATCTACCTGGTAATTAATTTTACATGTGTTCGTCTTGTTCTTTGTTTCTTGTTTCTGTCACGATATTAGATTAACGCTGTAATTATTATATATGGTGATGTAGATATATCGAGCATAAAGTCAGATAATCAGGTGTGGCATTTCTTGAAGTCAGATGATCCGGTGTGGCATTTCTTTTGCCGTCGCGATTTCAAGTACAAAAACAGCAAACGCTCTAACCGGAAAACAAAGAAAGGATTTTGGAAACCAACCGGCAAAAGTGTTGAAATACGGGCCAAGCGTACCAAGAAGGTCATTGGTACAAAGAGGACCTTGGTTTTCTATGAAACAGCTAGTCCTAAGCCTGTGAGGACTCAATGGATAATGCATGAATACGAGTACATTTCTGATTCAAGCCCTTCTAATCAGGTAAATGCAAAAGAATTTATAATTCAGCGACATAGTGTCTGAAGAGTAGCTAGTTTTGTCTTCTATTATGTTGTTCTAATAGAGGTCTTAATCTTTTTGCTAAAACATTACTTAAATGCAGATTTGAATTAATTTGTTACAATTTCTTGCGAAATAACCCAAGTTGTGGTTATCATTTCTACGAAATTGGAAACTTGGATGTTTATCTGGTCATTAACGTTTTCCTCAATTTATCATACCTCGTTATTATCTTGAGTTGTAAAAAATGGTCATTTGTTTATAGTCAAGTAATTTTGGTTTCATGAGTTTTGTTTGTACAATTTTTCTTTGAATGTTTGGTGATGTAGGCTCCCTGTTGCAGTGTTGCCTTTAGAAATTTACTTTTGCTAGTGTATGCTGTCATGTCCAAATAATTCACTCAATGGCTCAAGTTTTTCTGTTATAACATGTGCAGGGAGGATACGTTCTCTGTAAATTGAAGAAAAAATCAAATGTGAAGACCCATAAACGTGAACCCAAGCACTGTTTGGCTTCCGTCTCTAATTTTGAAGCTGAACCAAGCTGCAGTATGGCTTCTGATTTTGAAAATCAAAATCATAGTGAGTTGACGGCGAATTCAGCTTGTGTTGAAAGTGAATCAAGCCACCATCTGGCTTCTGATTTTGAAAATCAAAACTCAAATGAGCTGATGTCTAATTCAGCTTATGATGGAAGTGGGTTATGCCACTCCATGACCTCTAATTATGAAAATCAACATCCAAATGAGCAGATAGTTAATTCAGCTTATAATGGAAGTGAACAAAGCCACCCCATGGCTTCTGATCATGAAAAACAAGACCCAATAGAGATGACTCCTATGTCACCCTTTGATAATTTGCTGATGGCTTCTGATTTTGATGATCCATTATCACCCCTCCAACTTGAAGGTGAATGCGATCCTTCCTTGCAGATGCCTTCTAAGCTTATAAGTCACTCAACCTATGGTACAGGTGTAAGTAGTATCCTACTGGCTTCTGATTTTGAATATCAAAATCAAGACAAGGAAACCGATATATCAGCTTCCAATGAAGGTGAAAGGAGTTCTCTTACTATGCCTTCGGATTTGGAAAATCCAAATCCTCGGGAGAAGATTGATATGTCAACCCTTGAAGAAGCTTCTTTCGATTCCTCAACAGTTTCAACAGAATATAGTCGGGCAGATGCCTCGCTTCCAGAGTTTCCAGAGGTTAGAAATTAGAATTAACTTGCCTTGCATATTCTTTTTGGTCTCAATCTCGTGGAGTTTAAATAGATTACAAATAGCTCATTCTTACATCAGAACAATGCTTCCTGCAGCTAAGCCCTCAACTATGGGCAGAATTGGATGCATACCTGGCGCTAGAGGAAAGCCTCAACCTCCACTCCAGCCACCAGCATCTACAAGCACGGAGGAAATCCCTCCATACAGAGGCTTTGGTACCTCTGTCAACTTGAACAGATGTTTGCTGGCCTATATATCTGCATCCTTAAGTTCCTATTTGGTAACCAGTAACATAATAATCCAACTGAAGACTCCATAGAGTTACTACATGGCCAATATGTTGCTGTAATTGTTCGCATCCTTGCATGGTAGCTCATCTGCACATTTCACTGTCTTTATGGTGGATGCTTCTGAGTTCGACTTTATCCAGTCCGTGCAGCTTCAGGATGCTAATCCCCTAAATACAGCCTATGCCCTCCAAAATCTGCAGCTACATTCAAAGCAAGATTTTTCTAGTAGTACTAGAAGATGCAAGTGTTTTGTCCGAGAAATCTGATGCAATTCTTGTCCAGTACTGAAGAAATTAAATTGGAAGTACTTTGTAATTTCTATATATAGTTAGTTGGTAGTTATAGCTACATGCTACTTAATGCATGAAGGGGGATTTTAATAATAGTGAAAACAGCTCGTATGGGCATTGCATCTATGTATCTGTTGTGTTTCAAAATGTTGAGCAAAGAGTATGTTTATATGTTTAATTGATCTATTCCAGTTCTGAAAGTTAAGAAATACAAGATCAATATGATGCATCTGTTCAACATTGAATACAGGCAATCAACTTTCTGTTCTGGAGAATGGTGACGTCGTGATTGATTTGTTTCATGCTAGCGGGTTAGAGCAATAAAAAGGGCTTATAACCTCTAGCATGTTTGATGCAAATTGCATATCAGAACCCAGCGCCAGGGGCCTCTGTTCGACACTCTGCTCCCGCAAATTTCAGTAGTAGGGTTGGCTGGTTATTCTTTAATTGTGCTTTCTGATAGACAATGTAGCTTGTCATTAATCTTATAAAAACATTAAACCCTTTTATTGTTTACAGCATTCGTGAAAATACAGTAAGTTACTCGTTTTTGGAACTCTGCAGTTACTCGTGTCATCATGTGATCACGTCAGAGCGACCCACTTAATTGTTAGGGGGAAATGAAAAACAAACAAAACTTGGAATCAGGAACACTTGGTGATGTCATATTAAAAAACCGTATCGATAAATTGTTAGTTGAAATCCCAAAAATATGAAAACATGTTCAATTTAACCTAAAAATCAAACTTGTCAAACAAGTGTGGTTCAAAAAGAAAAAGAAAAGGATACTGCTAGAGAGAGAGAGAGTAGAGCAATTCTTTTCGTTGCCAAACTAATTGTACTGACACCTGCCATCGATAACCTGAGTAGCTGGTAAATCATGAACATGTTAATCCTACTTTTCAACTTTATATGCTACTGTTATTAGTATGTATAAACATTTTTAGAAGTTGTAGCCATTTTAAGTGATCCGTTTCTCATCCGTAGCTAAATTGTGTCTGGACTTAGCACAAGCACGCATGCCTGACAATCACCACTATTACCAATCGTTTCCTGCTCGTTCTAACGTGACAAAACAGTGCGATGTGATGTCACTATATCACAACCAAAATCTACTGATTTGCAATATATTAAGCAAAGATGTCACAGAAGCAATCAAGAATTAGAGTTTTTTTTTTTTTAATGCGATTTGATCGACTAATAATGTGTTTGGGAAGATTGAATCTTAGAATGAAAAATAAGAATATGTTTGGTATGAAGATAAAGAAGATAAAAATATTTTTTTATCATCTTGACTGATGTTTGGCACACTTCCTAGAGGAGGGGAAGATTTAAAGGAAACGTTAACCTGAAGGAGGGGCAGTTAAAGGATTTTTCAAAGGGGAAATTTTTTGAATTTTGTGTCTTTTCCTTTTTTTTTTTTTTTTGAAATTTGCCACTTCTTTTCTATTTTTACTTTCATCTTAAATTTAAAAATACTAATATTTATTATTCAATTTTTTCATAATTTTATAAGACAAACATCGAATATACCATCAAACTATTGAGATACTATTACTTTTGCATCAAAACTCATTTGTGTATTCATTTTACTACTAAATTATTTTGATTTTTCAATTAAGAACTTATCCTAGAATCATTTTCAAAAAACATTAAGTTGTTTACAAAATAATGTTGTTTCTTGTATATAAAAAAAGAGTACAATTTAGATGGATTATGAATGAAAAAGTCTTAAAAATTAATGAAAGTAATTAATTGAGAATTTTAAAAATTTAAAGATAAAATTAATGTGAAAAATTATTTGGAGGTGTATGTGTGTGTGTGTATATATATATATATATATATATTAATTTATACCAAACATCCTTAATACTTCATCTAACTTTTTTACACCCTTAATGTTTCACCTTAAATTTTTATCCCCTAATATTTCCTCCCATTTTTCATCCCATAACAACCTCAACCTAAGTGGCAAGACAATCTGGACGGATGTATAGATTTTTTATGTTCCACAAGTAAGAGGAAATGAGGGGAGTGGAATATAGGAAAATATTTTCGTCAATAGCAAATAATAATTGTTCTCTCCAAAATGGAGAGAAAGTAAAGAGATTGTTATCCAAGAGGGTTGAGTTAAATAAAAGGAATCCTAATCATTTAAACAAGTAATTTTAAATTCGAGTCTTTGTATGTGTAAAAAATTCTCTAGGTAGTTATCTCTCGTTTATACGCTCGATATAACGAGTAAAGGATTAATATGAATCTTTAAATTTGAAATAGCTTAGAAGATAAAAAAAAATGGAGAGATTGCTGAATAAGAAATAAAAAAAAAAATTGTTATTTTCATATTTATATTTTTGTTTGAAAATAGTTTTTCTCGAGTGTTCATAATATTGGTAAAAAAATTGAACGATAGGCAAAATTGTACTTTCAAAAAATTAGCCTCTTTTCTTATTTTAAAAAATTATTGAATATGAAATGAGTTATTTTCTCCTTTCATATAAAAATGAGATCCATTACAAAAATTATTGATAGATTACACGATTGTGTAAACGAGACGAGTGCTTCAATTCTTTTCAATTTTACCACTTTCAAACATATGGAGGAAAATCATTTTCTAATCTGGTAATTTTTTTTTCCTCATACTTTCATTCCTCCCTCTCTTTTTTAACCAAACACACAAAGTAAAAGCAAAACAAAAACAAATTAACGAGTATTGGAGTATATAATATTGACTTACATTGGACGCTATTCGTGATTGTTCGAGAATGTTCTAACATGGTTAAGGAAGTTAAGTGGAGTCCAAAGACCTTGGATTGGAAGTTGGTTGTGGAATTCAAGTTCCCACTTTTTGATCTTAGCGCGTCGCCTCCTAATGGCTGGAGAAATGAATTGCTAAGTAGCATCCTTTTTTCCCAAACAAACGAATCGGACAAGAAAACAAACATTTTTTTAGTTTGCATGAGCATTAAATGCTCTTGAGAAAAATTAATGCATTATTACGAAAATAAAATACCCTAAAAACATAAGAAATTTTTTTACTTTTTAATTTATTTCAATATGTAACATTTAATTAAATTTTTTGTTCTACATCATGGTTGTGATAAATTAAAAATTTAAACATAATTCGAAGATATAATAATTATAAATAAAATAAAAGAATAAGTTAGAGATTTGATTTTTTTTTTTATCCTCCAAGGTAGAATATCTTAGGCTCAAAAATATAAATTAATTTCTCATTGTTCTGTAGAACGTATAAAATTATGAATATAGCTACTTAAAGAGTTTTTTACATAAATAAAAATTAAAACTCAAACCCACTTACTTAAATAATTAGAACTTTTCAGGTTTTAGCTAAAACCAACTCCCTTCGTAGAGACTTAGTTTATTATTAAATACAAATTAAGCAATTTAACCTTTATTTATTTCTTGTTTTTGGTGGAAAAAGTTGCTGCTATACTATTATGGATTGTGCTATTTGGCTATAAATTGATGGATATATAAGACAGTACGGACATAGAGGACACGGTTAAACATGGGACCCACTTACATTAGAGACCAATGGCTTTGGAATGACGAACTTCTCAGTGAAGTAGATTCTGTGCGGGAACTTAGGGTCGATGTCTTGGATATAGAAGCACACAGAAAACGGTATGTCACCTATATATATATGGAACGCACACCACCTTCTTCTGCGCACCAACAACTCCTTTTTCTAGTAATTACTTCCCTCTATGCTTCAGTTTTCTCTTACAAAATATAGAATTATTCTTTTACTTTGCGTTGCATTTCTTATTCATCTTTTTAGTAACTACTGATCATGATCATCTTGCATTCTCTGATGCTTTAGTAACTTTGTTTTATTTAATTTGCTTTAATTTTCTTTTAGTTATAAACGAGCTGATCAATCAAAGGTGACAAGCAGAACAATGTCTTCACAAACTCCGGTGGGCTATGGATTTCATCCAACCGATGAAGAATTGGTGAACCATTACCTGAGGTTCAAAATGCATGGTGGCTATGAAGAAGAAGTCAGCAGAATCCCCGAAGTTAATGTGTGCGATTATGAACCTTGGGTGCTACCTAGTACGTGTTCATGCGTGTCTTGTGCAATGTTCTTGATCCCTTCCCTATTTTTCCTCGTTTTCTAATTTGTAATTGCCAATTAACAAAAGATCATGTTACTGTATACGCAGGCCTGTCTGTAATTCAGTCAAACGATCCAGAGTGCTATTTCTTTTGTCCTCGTAATTACAAGTACGTAAACAGTCAACGGATTAATAGGACAACTGAAGCTGGATACTGGAAGGTCACAGGCAAGGATCGCATAATCAAAGCTAAATCCACCAAGGAGCATATTGCTACCAAGAAGACTCTAGTTTTCTACAAGGGTCGTTTTCCTGAAGGGGTCAAGACCAATTGGGTCATCCACGAGTACCATCCAAATTTCAACTTCGGTAACGGGGTACCAATGCTGGACTTCTTAAGTTGTTTCATAGTATTTTCTTCTCTCTTTTCATTCTAAACAAGAGACTTGAATTTGGGGGGTATAATCACCAACAGTGCTCCTTGGCACTTGTGTTGAAAATTTTGGTGTTGAATATCAGTTATCTAAAATGGTTTATGGTAATACCTGAAGAACTCTTTTCCCCTGTATATTCGAGGGATTTTGTTTTATTTTCCCAGAAGCTTGTTCTCCCTCTCTGTTTTTTTTTTTTTCCTCCTTCGATTTCCATATTGATTAATAGAAATTTAATTATGCTATGAAAATTTGGTTGTTCACTTTGCGTAGAGGGACTTCGTTCTCTGCAAACTCAAGAAAGATCCAGATGAGATCATTCCAACATATGAAGAAGGCGATTCAAGTTTCAATGCTACTTCTGGTTTTGAAAATCAAAATTCAAATGAGTGTTATTATCCCCCAACCTTTGAAGAAGGTGAATACGGTGCCCGGATGGCTTCTAATTTCACAAACAGTGAGCCAGAGGTGAGAAATAGCACGAAATGTATAAAAGACAGCTTTTTGCTGCAAGTTATTCCATATATAATAAGAATATATATCAAGAACTTGTGTTTCTTTTACAGGATGACATTAATCAAGTTCAAGCACATCTGCAATCATTCCATGGCTTTGATGAGGGAGATTATAACCTGAACGCTGCCCTACAGTTTTCATATGGGAATATGCACTGAGAAAAGCCTTCTCCCTGCAATGGATTTTCTATCATCTATGTTTGTCAGTGTTTGCTATATATATAGTATTGTAGCTAACTTTATGTCCTTGAGTTACTATTTTGAGTTTTAATAGCATATTGTATTTGTATAAAACCTAGCTAGGACCAACAGAGTCCATATTTTGTATGTATTGGGTGTGGCTGAGCATATTGATTTGCCATAGGAACAACTTGCCACAAGTAGTTCTCTAAGGTAAACCTTGTTTTGTTTCTTCAGAGTGGAATTTAATGCATTTCAAGTGTGTTCTGTTTTGTTATTCGTTTAAGAACCTTGACGTTGGTCAGTGAAATTTTTCAAAAACGTGCATTTCCTAAAAATGTCTTTGGCTTGTAACTTAAGGTCTATATCTATCTCAAAACCTGTGCCTTTGGATCAACATCGAAGGTGCTATATGGGGTCCCACATGAAAAATAACCACATCCAGATACAGAAAACCAATGATGAGTAATACCGATGTTGGAAACATTCCCATGAAATCCAATTAATTGTACGATTCTTTCTCAACAATTTTTTTGACATTTTTTATGAGCATATCTCGTATGAAATATATAAATTAATAAAAATATATTAGTATATCAAGTTGAAAATAATTCATATATATATATATATATATTTTTTTTTATGAAATCCTGCCTTAGCATGTTTCTATATAAATAAACCATAAAAATAAAAAGTTCAGATTGAAACTTATGGAGTACAAGAATGTGAAAAAGAAGAAAGAAAGGAGGAGGAAAAAAACAAAAAAAAACAAAGGCGGTGTCATCGCACAGACCTCTAGCTAACCTTTATATATAATCATGGATGATTTTTGTTTTTGGTTAGGATCGGTCGATTGTTTAGAAACAATTATTGTTTAAATGGTGTTTTTTGGATGGAAGGTTTTGTTCTCACTTCAAATTTTGTTAATCTCATTTCATAATCTACTTTTATTATTTAAATAGTTCAAAACACCCTTAATTAGATTTTTTTTTTTTTTTTTTTTACAATTGAGGATATTAAATATTGGTGTTACTTTTTTATCTAAAAAATTTAGCTAAAATAAAAGTCTTCCTCTTTGTAATTAAGATATCTAATTGTATCCTTTTTTTTTTATCATTACCTATCACCAAATTTTATTTCTTTTTAAAACTTTGTTGGTCATTCCACTTTTTTTTCTTGTCAATTTTTTTTTTTTTTTTTTGCATTTCCAAATATTATCCACCAATAAATTATTTATTTTTAAAAACTATAAACGAAAATTCAGAAAACTTCAATTTTTATATACTTTTTTATTTGAATTAATTTTGAATTTTAATAATTAAAAAATAACAATTCAATAAATAAACAATACATATGCAATATATAAAATTGAGAAATGACTATTTATCATGAGACTTAAATTTTTTAGATAGAATTTAAATTTAACTATCTAGCATAATAAGATATCAAAGTTTAAAAAAGAGCCAATAGCCCAACAAAAATTTTAAAACTCAACTCACTTGATATACCTTACAAGATGGATTGTAAGTTTGACATACCTCACAAGATGAATTCCACGAGAGATGAGGTATTTAGAAATACATCTCACATCCAATAAATAAACACCAAATGAATAATATATAAAAATGCAGGTCACTTTTTCTCAATTTTTTTGAGAATATTTACTCAAAACGCATGTATAAGCTTAATTTAATAATATCTTGAAATTCAATATATAATTAACAAAAAAAAAAACTAAAAGATCAAGTGTTCACTATTCATTTCCTATTTATTTAGATCGATGTTTAATGTGAACATAGACTGATCTGCTCTTTTCTTCAATCTCGACCATTGTTGCTTTTCTATGTTGTAGCTGATTTGTCTCTGGCCGTTTAGATTTGCTGATTGCTGCTGCCTTTTCTAACAAAAATATTGGTTCTTCAATTTTTTATTGCAAGTGGTTGTTTTTTTGCCCCTTTTTTTAAGTTTAATTTCTTTTATGCCATCGAGTAGTTAGACATTTTACTTTATCTCCCTTTGCTTTTTTTTTTTTCCTTATCTTTTATGTCCGTCTTTGTAATTTTAGTTTTTTTTGTCAAAACATTAAATGTTTCTCCTTCAAAAGATATATCCCATGGTAAATGTGTGGGCCTTTTGCTTTGCATTATTGAAATCATTGTGCAAATCAATTATTTTGTACATTTTTTATTTCAATCGTCTGATCAAAATCAATTGTTTTGGATTTTTTTTCAACCGTGTGATCAAACTAACTGTGCACATATGACTTTGTCTTTGTGTCCTTTGTTCACCCCTTCATTAAAGGCTCCAGTATAAACACAACACTGGGAACTTCTTGAATAGTCATTAACAAACAAGTAAATTATAATAAACTTCATCCAAATTGATTCAAACTCATATTGTGGTAAGATGTTTTTAAAATTTTATATTTATATTATTACAGTTTTTTATTTAAAAATAAATATATAAAAAAGAAAAAGTCTTGTTTTTTTAATTACAAAATTCATAAAAAAAAACATAAAGAAGAATAAATTAAATAAAAATATTTGATTAAAAATTATGAAATTAATCTAATAATGTTAAAAAAATAATAATAAATGGTTAGTATTATATGTATAAATACATAATTAATTTTTAATAAAATCAATAATCTCACTTATATATAATTAGTGGGTCAAGGTATGCAACATAAATTGAAAAATATATATATTTTTTAGGAAAATCAAGTTGTAAAGAATATATTAAAGTTAGTCATTTGAAATAAAAACAGCTACAGAATTAATTTTGATACATCTTAATTATAAAAAATAAACAAATAAAAGATGTGAATTTTATTTTTTAATTGATTATTTATTGAAAAAAAAACTTATTCAAAAATCTATATATAGAGAAAAATAAATCATATTTTTTAACAATCAAATTATATAAAAATTATAAATTAATTTGGAGAGAGTTTTCATAAGAAACAACAAACTGAAGAGATCAATTTTAAAGAATAAGAATTGTGTTTTACGTAATTACAAAATTTATGAAAAATATAAGTAAGAATAAATTAAATATAATATTTTTATTAAAAATTATGGAATTAGATTTACTTTTAGTTTTATATATTTTAGTTGACCAATAACATAGTATAGGCTATCGAGGCTGAAAAAAAAATTTTATTCAACCCGCAGCATATCGTGAAAAATCGACCAGTGAAACCTAAAATGATAAATATATTATTTTTTTTCTTTTTCTTTTTGGATAGGTGTTGATTTAATAAATGAGTTTTCTCACATATTAGTTTCGATATGAGATTTTATTTCTGGCGTTATGAAATGGTGCATGAAAAAATTGTTAAAATTTTATGAAAAAAAAAGTCTGAAAATATAAAAATTTACTCCAGAACATTTAGCATTTAGAGGGGCAAAAAAAAAGGGGGCAAAGTTGAGTTTGAAAAATTGATACATGGAGAGGCCAAGTCCCTGAAGATTGTGAGCAATTAAATTAACAAGGGTGATAGATTCAAATAATTCAATCTATTTTTTCCTTTTAGGAAAAATCAAGTTGGTTGTTTTTCTTATATTTTCTTGCAAAGTGAATACGTGGGACCCTCTGAGTTTTGGAAAATTCTTTTGAAAGAACTAGGGAAAAAATTATTTGTCAAAACGACAGAAGTTTCTTGACGCTTGAAATTTACAGCACTCAGCTGTCTTGACTCATGACTATCAAAATTTTACCCATCTGTGTCAGAATTGAAGATTCTAACATATAAGAAAATGAAGACAAGAACTAAAACAAGTCATGCTTTAACACTGATCGAGTTTTTCAACTTCAAGATTTCCCTCCCGGCTCTCTTTTCATGATGATACGCATCAACCATGCTTACAATCACAATCGAGTTTATTAAGAAAAGAAACAGAAATTATCGATACAAGAACTGTTCAAGAGAGCAAATCAGTAAGAAATTTTTTTTAAAAAAAGAAAAAAAATCAAATAACTACAGCTAACTAGACAAGTATACAAGAATGTGTGTATCTAATCATCATCGATGATTCGATGTCCGATCGATCTTACCTTTGATAAGGGAGGGACATATGAGAGACTAAAGACCTAAATTCTATGTTGATGAATTACAGATGCCACCTAAGCAAACACAATGCAATGCAAGGACTCTCATCTTTGCAACTGATCTGGTGTGTGGTTTCTTGTGCAACGCTAAAACGTTAAAGTCGAGAGAACGAATTAAACGAATATTTATTTTATTTTAATCGAGCTAGACAAAACAAGATTATAAATTAGTCCTTCTAGTTTTGCAAAAAGAATAAAATAGTTTAACTAGTTTCAAAAATTAATTGATTAGTCATTTTCATATATTTCATGTTCATTTTTCAATTTTTTTATTTTAAGAAAAAAAAGTAAATAATATGAAAAGATTGATGGAAAAAAATATTTTTTTCTAGAACAACTTAATATTAAATTAAGTATAGTCAATGTCGGTTAAAAAACTAATTAATTAATTTAACTTTAGGGTCACATCCCAACTCCTAAATATCAGGATTTAAGGTAACCTGCATTGAAGAGCGAAACTAGAGATTTAAGATTGCAAGTCCTAATAAGAAAATAATTGATTATTGGGATGAAAAACTTGTAAAAATTGAAGCCTAAAGGGTATATTTAATTTTTTTTTAATTTTTTAGGATTGAAATGCAAACTTTTCCAAATGATGGGGTACGCCATGGCCCTCCACCAATCAACGAATACGAAATGAAGCAGATAAAAGTCCTGAAGATTTAATACGAGAAAATATAAATTAGTCCCTATAGTTTTTCTAAGCAAATAAAATAATTCTTTTAGTTTTAAAAACTAATTAATTAGTCCTTATACATAAATTTATATTTAACTTAATTATTTTAGTGTTTTTTAATTTTTATTTTTTTTGAAAAAAGAAAAAATATAGAAAGATTGATGAGAAAAAAAAGATATTTTCTAAAATAAAATAATATAAAATTAACTATAGTAAACCCAATTAAGGGACTAATTAATTAGTTGTTAAAACAAATGTGACTATTCAATTAATTTTAAGAAATTAGAAGGACTAATTTATATTTTTCTCTATTTAATACTTGCGGTTTCCTAATTTAATGTTTATGATTTAACTTTTTTAAATACTTAAAAAAAAAAAACAAAATTTTTGTATAAAGAACTTGTGAACGAAAAACTTCATGCTCGTTCCCATAATATTGCTAGATTTGGTTAGAATGCGATACAAGAATATAATAGAATGGGCATTCAAAATTTATCAAAACTACTTAAAATTCCAGAACACAATGATTAAAAAATTGAGAAAAATATTCATAATCAGCCTTGAAGCACAGCTAGCACACCTAGACCTTTTTTTTTATTGGAAGTTTTCGATGAGTCAATAGTGGATAATAACTTTTCAAATTTATAAATTTTCATCATGTTGTAAACCCGAAAACCTCCCCTTAAATAGGGCTTCAAATCTTAGTATTGAGACATTCTTTGGTAGAAATTTCGAGTCTCAGGACGAAGACTATCCTCTTGAGAGTTCAGAGACAACCCAGTATAAAAACAAATGTTATAAATTCCGAAAATCGTACGCTCAAAGGACAACTTAGTTATGGTAATCTTTAAGGATAGTGGTAAGCATTAAAAACGCAGGTCTCTGGGTCAGCACATACTTTTTTAGGAATGTCTGAAAACGAGTTTGAAGTTTCTCTTCCTATTGCTATTGTCATTCTTCTAAATTTTATAATATTAAAAAAATAGTGACTACATGAGTTTATTTTCAACAAAAAAAGATACAAACGTAAAAAAATATACCTGAACTCATTAAAGAAAATTTTCAAATTGGCTGAATTTTTTTTTAATTTTTTTCTCCTATAATTTTTGTTTTTTAATTTTTTTCCTTCTCCTTGATGATAGAGGAAGAAAAAGCAAAGGGAGGAAGAGGGCTTTGGGCAACTTCGTAGTTCCTACCCACATACCAATAATAATAGGGGGTAACTTCTCAGTCCTTGCTTCCCACGACTCCATGATATGGCTCAGGACTTCTAGTTATTCTCATTTCTAGTTAGTACGTAAAAAGAGAATTCGGACGCGGTTGTAGTAGCGGTGGGGTCCAGTTTTCTCTGGAGACGTATGGCTTATTCGTTATATAAGCCTATATATGACTTTTCCTCCGGCCAAGATTTTTCTTGGCAGCTTCTCGTGTGGGGGGATGCTTTTGATCTAGAAGAAAAATAAAAATATTTGAGTCAATACCAGCAGTCAAGGCATTGCTTTCTTAAAGATAACAACATAGCACAAACACCCTGTTTTTCTTGTCACAGTGAGCTCTCTACTCTGTTCTCGTTTTGTCTAGAATTAAGGTATTTGTTCTCTTACACTACCTTAGTAAACCTGTTTTAGGAAGAGGGATGAATTGTCTTCTTGTTGATAGCTTTGCTTCTTGTTATGTTTACAACTTCGCTTGATTTCTATGCTTCTCTTCTATTTAAAGAAACTAGCGCTTTGATAACCAGTGACTGTGTGTGATGGCACTGGTGGGATTCAGATTCCATCCAACTGAAGAAGAACTCATCGGTCATTATCTGGCACGTAAACAGAATGGCTGTGATTCCCTTGTTGATGATCATATTGGTGAGATTGATCATCTTTATCGGTGGGATCCATGGGATTTACCTGGTTAGCACCATAAACAGCGATGATTATTACAGATATGCTAAGCTTTCTTGATAATTAAATCCACGCTTTGCTGATAAATCCTAACGATTTTTTTTTTAATGTGATTGTGTGTTTGTAGACTTCGCAAGAAAACAGTCAGATGATCAAGAGTGGTATTTCTTTTGTCGGCTTGATTACAAGTACTCAAATAGTAAACGAGTTAACAGGACAACCAAGAATGGAAACTGGAAATTGACCGGCAAGATTCGTGATATAAAGCTTAGACGCACAGGTGAAGTGATCGGTACTAAGAAGAATCTTGTTTTCCAATACAAATGTCCTGATTCTAAAAAAGTGGTCGGGACTAGTTGGGTCATCCATGAATTCCAAGCTAAAAATTCCCCTCCTGATGAGGTATTATATAATACTTTTTTTTTATTGTTTTTGTTCTTTTTTTGATTTTTTTGATTTTTTTTTTTAGCCACTAAACCATATGGTATATATATGTTAGACTGTGATTTTTTATGTGTTTGTGTGGAAGAATTTCAGTTTTGGAGTTCAATTAGTGCTTAAATGGGATTGCATAATAAGTAATAACTAAATTCCTTGCTATTATTGGTGATTGCTTGCCCTAAACTCTAACCAGTTAATCTCGCTCAACATGGGAAGTATTTTAACTCTTCATTACTTTTATGTATCGGGAAACTGTTTTCAATATAATCAGAAGAATGTCTGCTATATCCAAGCTCGTTTGATGCTTGAGTTCTATTTGTGTTGTTCTATCCTGGAACTTTGGTAATGGACTGCTGCTTTTTTGAAACTTTCCAAAAACTCTACATTACTAACTAGTTCGATATTGATGACCCGACTTCAAGGTGAGTTCTTATTGTTTGTAGTTCTTTATCTGTAGAGGGCTCTAGTTCTTTGCAAGTTAAAGTATAAAGCAAATGACTGGGCTGCTACTTCTCCTAATGATGAAGGTGAACCTAGTCGGGTTATGGGATTTGATGTTGAAAATACTGCAGCACAGACTAATATCCGAGAGGTGAGATGGAGCATTTCCAATTCCTGTTATTAGAATATAGTTTTTCATGTGGAGCATGAGCTGCACGTGTTTACTCGTGTGTGATTCTGAGTCCAGGTAGATGCAGAACAACTGCTACCTCTCATTGACAGCCATGTGGAGGATTTCAATTTTCCTTTGCCACTGCAGTCACAGAACCATGTACAGAATTGCCTTTCAGATGAAGAGTATCTGAATGAGTTTGCAGATTCGTTCCTGATTGATCCAGATGAACATGAAAATCCTGCACAGTACCTTCTCCTAAATGACGACAGCCCACAAGCATCATCAAGTAAAGCTTATGTTGAGGGTAGCAGTGACGGAGCAACTTATGCTGGCTATGGAGTCGCAGAGGTAATAAAAAATCACTACTGGCCAATGGGGAATATTTCTTTCAGTAGCGCCCACTTCTCTCAAAAATTATATCAAAGAACGTTAATGGGAGCATAGAAGTTGTATGTGATTTACTCATTATTCAATGCCACCAAGGGCATTCTCTAGAGTCCTGAAAGATCTTAAGATGAAATTGAGATTTGTTTAATGAATTTTTGCACGGGTCAACCATTCTATAGATTTGCTGCGTTTCTGGGCTGAATGTCATTTGTATTTCCTGTGTAGTTTAGACCTGTTGAGGAGACATGAAAAGTTAACTCGTCTGTTTGTAACTTTTTGACAGTATGGTGGGCACGGTAGTTCAAAAGGGTACCGGCAGTTGCAAATGGCTGGTGGTGATGATATCCTCTTGATGGGGGCATCTTCCATGGGTTCCACTACCGGAACTAGACATGAACAGATCGATTTAATGCAATCAGTTGGTGAAGAATTTTCAAGCATTCACGAACCTCTGCCTCCACCAAAATACCCCAGGTTCATAGGAGGGGAGAAAGTTTATCATCAATCTTTACGAGCCAGAGAAGGACGAAGGGAAGGTGCTAATACTGTCCTGCCTCAGAAGGAAAGGTTTAGCACAGAATCTGAAAAAGGGAGGAAAATAGTTCAGGTTACCAAAGCAAAACCAAATGTGAACTCGAGATCAATTGAGTCAGCCGGCAACGATAGGAAGGGCCGTTTCATTCACTTTGAAGCAACTACATCAAGCCATAGATCAAGCCCTCGATCAGTGTATTTTTTCAATGCAGTCTTGGGTGTGGTTATGTTCTTGATTATCCTCAGAGAAGTGCTGATTGTTCACTGAGATATGCCCCTCTTTAGAGGTATATAGTCAAGTATTTCTATGCCAAAACTTAAAACTCTGAACCTTAAATCCTCAACCGCCTAGTAGAAATGATTTATTTTCTTGATGTAATTTGGATATATAGGTTGCCACTTTCTCGAGAGGCTGGCCTTGGACTGTAGTTACTGTTATCTTTGCTGTAAGTTCTTGCGTAAATGTATAAAATGCTGGCATATTGTTGGAATCAATAAAAATAAAGTATTTGGCGAAAAGAAAGAAAAATAAATAAATAAAATTGGACGTGGTCCTTAGATTTGGTGTGGTGCGTCTTGATTAAGTCAATTGAGTGAACAGATGTTTAAATAATAAATTGATATGTTGCAAGTCATATGCTTGGATCCCAACAGCAACATCAAGGTTGGGAGAGAAAAAATTCGATGAATCTTTATCACGATAGGTGAATAAGTTTTTTTTTTTTAATAGTAAGGATGAAAAAGAAATTTAAAAAGTTAAAATTTTGTCCATAGAGAACTTTGAGTTTGCAAGTATAAAAATACATGGAGAAATATAATGTTTTAGATATGATTGATATTGTATGGAACCATTTAGATTTGGAGTTGAAATATTTTTGATGAAAAAAAATATTTTAAAAATGTATCATGAAGTTAAAAAGTTATCAAATTAAAGGATTATACACATCTTATTTGTGGATGATAAATTTGTAAATAAAGTTAAAAAGTTATCAAAAATTAATATGAAGAATCTATTATTGCCAAAGTACAGCTTGGAATCTAAAGATAATGGCGAATATTTAAGATTGCCAAATTTGGCGTGGAGAAATTCTTTTGTGAGATAACTATCAACAAAAATTTATGGATGGAAAACAGATAAAATAAAAAATAAAAAAAAAACTAATGGAGAAATTTGAAAAGATAGAGAATTAATGCTTTTTTTTCTTGGATGAGAGAAAGAGAGAAATTGATTTTGTGGATTTTAAAAATAGAAGCCAAGATTGAAAAGTCAATTTTCATTTTTTTAAGCAGTGAAAGAGAATATTGATTTTTTGAGTATCAATGAATTCTTTAGATTGAAATATGTTAGGAGTGTACTCGGTACTGAGTCAAGTAAGGAGATGAAATTGAATGTTTTTATTTTTTATTTACAGCAAATAAATTGGGTTTATTTCAAACAACGCTTTCCACCATAAAAAAAATCCATGAATATGAAGAACATTTTTTATTATAAAAAGATGGTACTTTTTAAACTCATGTTCAAATCTTTACTGCAGTAATTATGGCATTTAAGACACAAGAAATTGATGAAATTGATTCGTGTTCATAATTGTAGAAGGCTTAGTTTAAAGTAAGAAGTTGAAATAAAATCAAATTGGCATTAATCTTTGGTTTTATGACAAAAATTCTCATGTTTTATTATAATTTGAAAATTTTAAATTTTTATTCTCAATTTATATAAGTTGAATCTCAAAACATGATTTTTGGATAAATATCATCCAAATCTTTTTTTATTTTGTTATTTAAAACAATCAAACTAGTTGACTGTTAAACAAAATGCTTAAACGATTTTGTTTTTAATTTTTAAAATTTATACAATTAAATTCTTACTTTAAAAAAATAAAAATAAATTAATGAGTATTGATACGCTAAGGAGTGAGTATTTATATTCTTAAACCATATTAATAGTTATATATTTTTTATTTTTACTTATTTTAATACTCATTAAATATTTATTAAATCGAATAAAATAAATATTTATTGTATATTCAATTTATTTTCATCCATGCTTGGGATCTACTTCTTATTGTGAGAACCAAAAAAATCAAAGAATAAATTACTTCCATAAGATTGAACTGTCAACTCTCACTTGTGGATAAAATTCTTAGTAGTCACAGACGAAATAATTAATGAATTGAGTTGTAGTACAAAAACACGAGAATAAGCCATTTTTGACAAGGAAGCTGGTTTCATAGCGTTGACACAAGGGAAATCATCAAATTAACTAGATTATGTAATTAGAGTTGAAACCAGACATGCTAACCAAAGATGGCTTCTTTAAATAAAAAATAAAAATAAAAATCCTTTAGAGCTCCCAAATTTGGATATATCTCCCATGTTAATCCTTAAGAAGTAAATTATAAATTAGTTATTTTAGTTTTACAAAACAAATTAAATTGTCCTTATTTCAAAAAATAAATAATTAATTTTTTAGTCAATATTGATTATGGTTAATTTAATATTACTTTGTTAAAAAAATGTCTTATTTTTGTCTATTTATTAAAAAAATTGAAAAAGAATGAAAATATTAAATTATTAATAAAAATTATAAGGATTAATTAATTAGTTATTGAGACTATTTAATTCTTTTTGAAAAACTAAAGGGACTAATTTATCATTTACTCCTTTGTTGAGAGAGGAAGGGCACATGAAAGTGGTGAACATAAGAGACCGGCTGAAGAAAACGACCAAAAGGGAAACGCATGTCCAACCACAAAACATTAATGCAACGGAATGAGACTATGATTGGTGGATAGAAAGATTGAGGAAAATAGAAAAAGAAAAGAAAAGGATAAACTTGTCGAGGAAGTCTGAAAAAAAAAAAGCAATGCTTGGAATGGCAATGACGTGGCCTATTTCTTGTTTGTTTCCTGACGACAGTCCACAGAAAAGACAGATTGCAGTGACGTGGCAGCTTGATGGTTGTAATAAGGTACAGTACGGATAATTTTGACAGGGGGTTTGCTAGGACACGTCACCGGTCCTTCTCAGGTAGCGTCTCAGGCAAGCGAACGCATTAACTAGTGTTTCTAAACTTGGATTAATTAACCAACAAAAATCTCTACTTTATCAGACACACATACCTTAAAATTGCTTCAACAAAGAAACTACGTACAACTAATGTAAATAAAGACCAAAACACCACACGTCATAGATCGCTCATACTCCCAGGTTCTAAGTTTAAAAAAAGAAAAAGGCCAAAAAAAGGAGTAACCTAACCAGCAATCAGTGTAGAGAAAATGAAAAGAGTAGGATATCGATTCCACCCAACTGATGAAGAAATCATCAGTTACTTTCTTAAACACAAGATGGATGGTTCTGATTCTTCTATCGGCAATGACATTACTGAAATTGATCTTTGCAAGTTTGAGCCTTGGGAATTACCAAGTAAAGAAAAAAGATAGATACTGCAACTTTTTCCTTTTCTTTTTCATTTAAGAATCTTTTTCTTTTTTCTTTTTTCTTAAGCACAACGAAGTTTAGAAACAGAGTGATTTTTTATACAGACTCTTGCTTGTTTTATTATGATTATTATTGTGGTACTATGTGAAACAGGGTATGCAGCAGTGCAGGAGTCATCAAATGATCAAGTGTGGTACTTTTTTCGTCCACGAGACTCAAAGTATCCTAATAGCCGAAGAGCCAACAGAACAACAAAAGCTGGATTTTGGAAATCAACTGGTAGGGATCGCAAAATAAAGGCTAGACGAACCAAGAATGAGATTGGTAGAAAAAAGACTCTAGTTTTTCATAAAGGTCGTGTCCCTGATGGTATCAAGACTAATTGGGTTATCCATGAATACCAACCTAAAACCATCCTTCCTCACCAGGTATATATAATTATTCAGTCTCACTGCTTGTGTTTTTCTGCATTTTGTTTTGTTTGGAGGAAGAGGGTTTGTGTTTTTTAAAAAATAAAAAAATAAAACTGGGACCTTTTTTAAAGCTATATAATAATTATTTTTTTTTAACAGTTTGAATGTTATATGGAGATTGTTTTTGTTTCTCAAATGTGTTCAATTTTCTACTTGGTTTTGTTTTAGTTGTTTTTTTTTTTTTTGTGGGGGTTCATGAAGTTCACTTGTGACATTTTGTAGTCATATGATTTGTTTTTTTTCCAATTTGAATGTCAATGATGTGAAAATTGGTAGTCTCGAGATTCAAATGCTATGAGTTTTCTGCCCAATATTGAATAACTGGTCCATGTTCTGAAGTATTGATTTATGCAGAATGTTCCAAGCACCTCTGTCAAAAGAATCCCAGTCCATCAGAGATTGCAAGGCGCCCTCTTTTTTATTTTTATTTTTTTTGGAAGCTTACTTATTTGTTAAGAAACAAAATGGACGAATGAATTTTCCTGTGAAAAGAATATAATTTCATAATTTATTTATTTATTTTTTTAAACTCGGACACCAAGCCTCCTAGTCTGTTAGGATTTATAATATAATTTCATACTTTCTACTAATGTCTAAGATGGTCATTGAGGTGATTAAAAGAAAATCCGGTAGCAAGAGTGGCTTCGATGTATGATTTTTGTTTTTTCTGTGCTCTTTTCTTTCCCTTCTTTCGCCATAGAATTGTATATAGGTTGCTCATTATCAATCATATAATCCACGGGCTCATACTTTGTTTTGTTGTTCGCCTTATGCAGAGAGCTTTTGCTTTGTGCAAACTGTTGAAGAAAGGGGATGAGAGGACTGATGTTCCGGCCTGTGATGAAGGTGAACCGAGTAACCGTATGCCTTCCAATTTAGGAAACTCAGTAGAGGCCCCAGTTCCTCAGGTAAATTACGGTTAGTGTTTATATCTACTTATGTCGAACATCAGAAGCATATCAAGGACTAATGCTTGCTTTAATTTTGTCATACTTTCAGGTGGACCAAGAGCTGCAAGTGGAAACTATCGTTATTGGAAATGGATTGGGTTTCCCGTATCCCCCTGCAATGCAGCAGCAGATCCTCATGGAGCAGGGCCGCCCTTTAGAGAGTACACCATTCACCAATATCTTTGGTCACGAATCTAATGAGTTGACATTTCAGTTTGACGCTGATGAAGAAGCGGAGGATCCCATAAAGTTGGCAGATTCATTTCTTATTGAACCAGCTGGTTTTAGCTGCAGAAATGTATTTGCCATTTTCCCGCCTGAATCTAACTACGAAGAAGCTTCAAACAATCCTCTCAATGATTCCAGTCCATCAAATTCATTGAGTAGAGTAAATCTTGAAGGTACTGGTGACACTGACGTTGAAGCTGACCCTCTTGAGGTAAAAAAATATTCTCCAACGGAAATTGGAGAATATTTCTCCGAAAGCATGTAAAACTCAATCAATAGCACAGGAGAGTATTGTTGGGAAGCATTGCAACAGTATGCATGCTCATGTTATTTCAGCGTTTTCTATGATATTATCCTGTGGAACATAGATCTCATAAATGTTAAGAAGTAGTCTATAGATCTTCTGTTCTATGTCTTCAAAGTAGTGCATGGATCATAAAGGCATGAATCCAAAAATAGTCCACGATTCTAATTAGAATCTCCAAGTGGAAAACAAAAAAATTAATAGATCTTATAAAAATATCTTCAAGATCTATATATATGTCCAAGTAGAATGAACAAAGCAGCGCTGCGTGGGCATCTCGCTCAAGGTCAAACAGTCTAAACTACGCTGTATTCCTTCTATTTTAGTTATTTTGAGTTTCTTACTATTTAGACTTCTTGAGGATAGTAGCGAAAATTATCTCTTCATGCTTTTATGCAGTCTTTCCAACCAATGGGAACTTCGAACTTTTCTGGTGGAAATGCCAGATCAAATTACTACTGGCAGATGCAAACCATTCAAACACTGACTGGAGCCCTGCTATCTTCAATTCATGACCAGCATGAGAAGGAAAAGATTAGTTCTCATCGTGATGAGATCGTGGTAACAGAGGCTTCCTCATCAGGCACAGAAACAAAGAAATATATCATTTGCATCACTCCAGTTCATGAAGTTCCTGATTACGTAACAACCAACAGAGCACGACGACACAAGGTGAGGAAATTAAGCTACACTCATAAAACTCGAAGAATGGCCTATGTTTAGTGCTGAATTCGAACTTCATTTGATTTCTGTTTGCAGGCTCAAAAAGCTAGAAAGCAAGTTACTTCCATTAATTTTCTTCAGAAGGAAAAATTGAATATGGAGTCTGATCATTATGAAACCCTAGAAATGGAGGCTTCTTCAGTCACCTCAGATCCAGAGAGCTATATCTGTTTCCTCGAAGAAGTTCCCGATTATGTAACAACTTGCGGACCACAATACCATGAGGTGAGGCACTTAAGCTGTACAGAAAAATGGGAAATTACCTGTCTCTAGGTGCTGAAATGGAACTGTATTTGATTTATGTTGCAGGCTCAAACATCTACAAGTCTTGATATTGCCATTGATCTGCCTCAGATGGAAACTTTCATTATGGAATCTCAAAGTGACATGGAAATGGCTCATTCTGAAACAAGTTTGAAGTTGGGAACAAATGGGTCATTTGACAACTATTGGATGTCTTCTTTCATTGACTTGGGAAAGTCTCCATTAAGCCACAGACAAAATCCCCCCTCAGTGTATGTTGCTAAAGTGATTCCAGGCCTAGTTTTGTTCATATTTTTTAGTTGGCGAGTGCTGATCGTTCACTAGGTGGTACATTGTACATACCTGGGTTATCTAGTGGCATTTCATTGAAAATGAGTTGAAATGCAGGTCCGCTTGTGTTGGCCTCTCTTGGGACCAATTCGATGTAATTTGTTTTGTCATGATGATGTCTTGTGGTGCTTTAAGTGGATTTTTTTAACTCGAGAGTTGGGTACACGAACTTGGAGTAGCAATGCTAGGGTCATTTAGGATCTAAGGATCCCTGAACCTTGCCGTTGATTTTTGAATGAAAGTTATGTCATTTTGACGGAAGCCCATGTATAAAAATATCCTGTTAGTGTAAACATTGCTAACATCCAACTTTAAGAAGGATTGTCTGTCATCTAATTCTCATTCCTAATATCTAATCTGCTCCCTTTGTTGATGTTAAATTGTAGTTGTCGTTGACGGTATCAGAAGAACAAACACAGCTCGTTCAGCATCTCCAATTTCATTAAGCATGCATCTAGCAGCTTTCCTATAATCCACACATAGTCAATCCCGTTATGTTTCACTAATTAAAGGAACATCATGTTTACAAGCTTCTGTTACCAGTAATGCTCTACTCTATGACGTTGGAGATCTCTGGCTGCTAGGCACTTCTTAAAAAAGGTAACAAAACATATGACATTGGAGATCTCTGGCTGCTAGGCACTTCTTAAAGAAGACAGTAACAAAACATATATTGGGTTGACAAACTGCTCAAGCTTTGAGAACTAAGCAGCAGCCCGCTGCGCCACCAACCAATCTATTGGCCTATGACTTCTAATATTTTACACATTTCACCTTAATTCAATTTCTAATGGACCCGTTTATAGCTTAGTTCAAACTGCCCAACCTAAACCAGCCATTAATTGGAATAGTTTAATAGGATTCATTTCAAAGAACCAAAAGAAAGACCTGAAAACTTACAGAGGAAATAGCCCTGCAACTATAATCCTCCATAGAGAATTAAAACACATAAACTCCAAAACTAGAGATGGACCAGCCAACTAGTGTTCATATTGATACCCATCTGCAGTACAGTAGAACGATTAGCTTTCAAGAGATGGTATGCATGGAGTACACATGCATAGTGCCTTGAAATTTACACCATTCAGCTCTTTAACAAAATTGATTCCCTTGAATCCCTTGCCCTTATGTGACTCTGATCGCACATGAATTATTAGACAGCAATGCTCTTAATCATTAAACATTGTCATTGCATTCTCCCGGGATGCTTCAGTGTGTGTGCTATCAACAGATTCATCACTACAATAACCGTGTAAGGGACCAGTGCTAAAAAGACTCGATCAGCTTTGAAGGGGGCTCCAAGACTCAATTACATTTCCCAAACGTTAATTTTTGCAATTTCGGGCATCAAAATTTGCACAACTCACATTTAACAGTAAGCCAAAATGGCATTTTAACCAAAATGACTAGCATAGCATGAATTTCTTGAATACAATGAAGATGGACAATAAATGTTCTAAAATCTCAATGATCTCTGAGTGGGAACCTGTGTTACAAGCAACTTAACAGCATGTGCACACAAGCAGGCTGCAATGCACCTATTCATAGCTGACTCAGTAATCACTGCTTCATAAAAAGAGCAAAGGCATGTAAAACTATGAAATTCATTTCAACTATGATCAATAATCCACCAAGAATCCACTCAAAAAAAAAAAAAAGAAAAAAAAAAGAAAAAGGAAATGAGTTAGCAATTTTCTAACATTTGGCAGAACAAATCCAGCAAGATAAGTGTGCTCATGGAAGCAGGACCTTTTTCACAAGGCAATATGCTAAACACCAGTAAGGAAATGTTTAGGAACTTCAGTATTAATAACTGGAAACAGCAGAAAACTACAATGAGTAACCTATTTATTAAGTACATTTATAATCTCCTATATGTTAGTGGAAATATTTGTGCTTTCTGCTAATTGTGCATAAAAAATTTGAAGTAGGTAACAGTCCACATGTGGGGTAGATAGCATGGACCTAAAAAATACCCGTGGACTCAGCTATCAGCTAATCATATTTTCGATTAAATAGCAAGGACCTGAAAAAGTTTAATAGAAACTTACAGTTGCTACGGCAACCATATAGAAGTATTAACAGTCCACATGTGTGATAGATTGCTACATAATTATCTAAAATTTTCATTTCACACTCAAACATAGACAACAGATTTGCACCAGTCCACAAATTGATGACTTGCTGCAGTTAGAAAATTAGAATCTACACAATCATATATGCTGATGATTCTTTGAGCATTAATACAAGAAGCATGACATAACAAAAATTACTAGTATGGTGCTGCCATAAAAACTGGTGAACAAAGGTTAAGCATAATGTATTAGGACAATAAATGCTTTTTTCTAACCTTTTAATGCCACTGTGTTGGATGATAAAACAAATAAATCAATGATGAAAATTACAGAAGATGGAAATTCCCAAACCTGTACAAATGCATATTCAGAAAAAGGTTAGATTGAACCAAACTCGAGCTTAAGCATTAAACAAGAACCAATGCTAAGAAGATTACAGAAGCTGAAAGTGTAAAAAGTGCTGCTCAATGTGCTTTTCAGTAAGCCATACTAAGAAGTCATACCATCGTGGCAATAAGAAAAAACTTGAAGTAACTTGAAACTAGGACTGCAAGCAAAATGTCTCTGCACCTGTAAAGTTAAGGAAGAATAAGTCAAATTACACTATTCTTTTTCTTTCTGTAGTTGATGCAAATAATCTAGATCAAGAATATCATCATTATAACAGCAGCAGTGATAAATCTGAAGTTGGCTACCAAAAAATACTTTTCTCTATTTTGCCTTATTTTGTCCATATCTCCTTAATGATCTTAGACATCTGTTTCACTCGATTCTCTCATAAAATCTCCCATAATTGTACCTCTAACTTCTTACGAGTTACAAATAATACTAAGATCCTAGTTTCAAACAAGGGATAAACAGAGGTATCATACAGCAAGTAATCAATGATCACACAAAACTGTTTGCCTCCATCCCAGTTCAGTATTATTTCACATAAAAACAAATTTTGATAATTATACTAAATTAGAATAAAAAAAATCCCCCTCTAGGTGATCTCCATCGTGAGTTTGTTCTAAAAAACAATGCGTGGCATGCATGGCAGTTGCTAGTAGTGCTTCATAATTTTGCAAGTCCAAGAAGTATATGGAAGGAAGAAACAGCAGGACAGAGGCAAACATTTACCTGGAGATTCGAATCAATGTGTTCAGCATCAGCCTCATTGAAAGAAGAAAAATAAAGATAAACATAATGTTTCCAACAAAGACACCCACAAGTATCTACATAAGACAATAGCAAACCCACTTTTCAACAACCAAATAGAATCCTACAACTTTAAAAAAGAAATTTATCTCCAATTCCCACCGGCATTGCTAACCTCTTGGAACATCCAAATAATAGAAAAAAAGCTCATGGAAGAACCCCACTCTCCCTCATTTCTTTTCAAAAGCAGACTTCTATCTTTGATCATTAAGGCAGCCAAACATATATCAGACCACAAGTTTAAAGGAATAATTAAGCATTCAAACAAGAAAATGAACAATAAGCCAATGGATACAAGCTTCCAGAAGAAGAAACGCAAAGATTGACTTCCACAAGAAACCCTGCAAAGCAACCCCATGTCAGGGTTAATAAACCATATTCACAAGAGCAATGATTAAAAATACTGAAACAGAAAGTACATAATTAGATATAAGTTTTCTCCCACAAAAGACTCTGATTAGAAGCAATAGTACATCCTTTAAGCATTCTGGAAATGCACTATAAAAGAGTGTCCACATAAAGAACGTAATGCTTATAAACTGCAAGAAGCCAACATAAGTAAAGGAAGCAACTTGTACCTCAAAATTGACTGTATGCTGATTAATTACATTGAAGAGCAGATGCCTATACGCTTTTTTCTTGTGCAGAATCAAATCAATCAAGATAATCTACACCCAAAGAGGGGAAAAAACTCTAATTCTTCACCGAGCGAACCAAAAAAAAAAAAAAATGATAAAAAACCAATCAATAGCAAGTCAAGAATCAAAAGAGTCTAAAAAATTCACCATGAATTCACATTCGATGTACTCGTCTGCGACTGCTTTGCAATTCTCCTACAAAAAGAATAAAAAAATAAAATAAAAAGAAGCAAAGTTGGGAAATTTCAAAATGGAAAAAGAAACTCATAAAAATGATAGAGAGAGAGCTTTACACATCTCATGAGTCGAATATTTCCCGGTGAGTATTGGACGAAAAGAGTTTTGATCGGAAATCCACACTCTACACATCTATGCTCCATCTTTTCCAACTCTCTCCCTCTCTCAGTCCGCATTCTTCAATGTTTCGTCTGTTACAGTTTTTTTTAATTCTCTTTCGGGCATAAGCCCAAAGAATATGGGCTTTAATATGGACTTTAAAGTTTGCTGAAAGCAACCCATACAAGGAATATCTTTTTTCTTTTGAATATTTTTTCTACTAATGAAAAAAAAACATCAAAAATTTTCTCCCATATTGCATTCTAATTCATTATTTGAACTCGAAAGTTGATATTTAATTCCTTATGCCTTCTTTTCAAGTTTTTAGAGAATCGATTACTGAAATTAATTTGATTTTCGAAATTCTCCGCTTAAAAACAAAAAATTACTTTACGTTTGTGATGTTTTTATATGGTTTCTGTTTTTAATCTCCTTTTATTTTATTATTCAAAATAAACACCGAACAAGTGTTTTTTTTGGAGAAACAATTATCATTTTTCAATTTTTAATGGATTTTGTTAATATCTTCGGTGACAAATATTTCTAAAATGGAGAAAAAGAATTGAAAAAAAATTATCTTTTGAAAGTATGTCATAACATCTTAAATTGGAAGGTCGGAAAGGTAACAAGATTCTCATAATTTGATTTTTTAAAAAAACATTATTCTAAAGGTTCTCAAGTTCTCGCCATCCTGTTATCCCAAAAAAAAAAAAAAAAAAAAAAAAGGTTCTCACCAAATATATATATATATATATATATATATATATATTCTGTAATTATAAACCTTCCCTCCAAATTCCAGTATCTCCCAACTAGTAGACGCGTAAGTTCATGGGCATCAAAATTCTGCTTCAACCTAGAACCAAGCCATTTTCTGATTTTCCGTCTAGCTAGGACTTTTTTCACCGGTAAACTACATTCACATGGTCCCTTAAGTTTAGAATAGTAGTCGTATTGCCCCTGTACTTTAGTTTTGGTCACACCAAACCTTGTACTTTCAGATCTTGGTCATATTGTAAGTATCCCTCCATGTAGGTCTGTTGGCGACGGTGCCCCAAAAAGCACTGATGGAAAAGCAAGCAAAATCCTGGATATATATGTAGGAAAATTTTTAAAATAAAAAACAGGGTTAGTACGTACTCTCCTTAAAGTCTCAGTACAGAAACAGGAGCTACTTTACTTGTTTCTTTTCTGAGCTAAAAAAAGATTCGAAGCTGGGACAGATCCTTGATGCCTCGGATCACTCTCTATATAGGTTTTATCGTCATTGGAGTACTCGATAGCTTGAAGTTCGAACTACTCTAATGCTGTCGTTTTCTACATCCAACCAATACCTTAATTTCTTTTTTCATACCTTCAACCTAATTAGGCTTCTTTTAATCAGTTTAAACAGGTTGGGTTTTAATTTGGAATTATGTATCTACTCCTACCACAACTACAATTAGGGTTCACAAGGAGCCGGATACATAATAGGTACCCTACACATCGCTCTTATTATTTATTCTTTTAAAATACCTTAATTGATAATGGATAAAATAGTATTATCTATTTATATTAATAAATAATTTATTCATAAGTATGAATTTTTTTTTTTTTGTCCTATTAATACCCATTTTTTAACTATGAACATAAAAAAAATACTAAAGCGAAAAATTTTAAAATAAACAAAAGAAAATGAGCAATTTTTCTTAATGACGAATCAAAAGTATTGTATGTGTGTGTGGGTTATATGTATTTTTTTACACCATGCGTTTTTATTTTGCATTCTTTCCTATAATATTTCTTAAGTTTTTCTTTTCTTTGAGTTTGAATTGAATTCTAATTAAAAAGTTGAAATTGATATGTTTCTATTAGTAAGTGTCATTCCATCAAAATATTTACTTGTCAAAATCAATATCGAAATTTGATTTTCCTCTAACCAATAAAATTGAATATTATAATTTTCACAATTATTTACCCTCCCATCATTTTCTTTTATTAGTGTTGAAACCTTGCCACATATTGAAGATTTTATTAATATTTTATTATTATTGAGCATGCACGGACAAATCAATCACGATCATATTAAAAGCTTCATTGAAAATTACCATCATTCTTTTCCTTTTCTTTTTCTTTTTTCCCCTTCCAACCATTAAATATTTAAAAATAAAAATCATAAAGGTATGATATTCTTTCCAATTGTTTAACCCCACCTAACCTTTTTTTATAAATACCTTGAAAGTATAGATGAAAACACTCTATTAGAAAACATTATAAGATTATATGATACATTCAAAACATCTATCATCTTAGTCTTTTTAAGCACTTGTCACCAATAAAAAAAAAGTTGTCCCCAATTATTTTATTATATGTAAAGAGTCTAGACAAAAAGAGTGTAATTAAAAAAAAAATCAATAAAAAATTTTAAAAAATCTTCAATTTAAGGAAAAAAAAAATTAACGGATAAACGGGCATGGGCGGGATATGATATAATGGGTATGAGCTGAGTAAAGAAATGAGTAAATGATTTTTAGTAGGTAATAGATAAGATAATAAGTATAATATTTTTTTATGGATAGAGTATGAGATTGGCTTAATGGCTTCACAACTACCACCACCACTATAGGCACCACCATCATTAATTTTATTATTTTTACGATCTTTATATAGTTTGATAAAATTATTTTTTTAGTCATTATTTTTATTCGTATAAAACATTAGATATTAAAAATTTTAAATGTTATTCGATTACTTATTAGTATTCCAAACACGGTATAAAAATATAAACACTATTTTGATTTTTTATTTTTTATTTCGATTCCTTCATTTTCAATCCGGGCTTTTCATTCCTATTAATTAAACGACATCTTAAGATGTTTCTTTAAAATACTTTAAGAATTATGTAAACTAATTATCAAAAAAATTATAAAAACTATTTTTTGAAATCACCTTATAAGAATAGTCATAAAAGTCAAAATAATTAAACAGATGCAAAAAAAAAAAAAAAAAGCCCAAAAAAGAAACTAAAAAAGAAGTTACAATAATAAAAAAATAAAAACTAAAAGTATCATGAAGAAGGTTAGAAAAGTAGAAGAGCATATATATATGCTTGTCGAATCTGGATAAGATTTTAATATTCAGGCTTCAATTGGGCCAAATTAATTCAATAAGAGTTAAATATAAATTTTTATATGAAATATTTTCTTTTTTTTTTCTTTTTTGGTGGTTGATTTGAACCCGGATTTCTTCTTTATATCTAAAATTAATAGTTGTACAGCTCTATATATATACACTGCACTTTTGATCGAAACAGAGGAGAGAGAGGAGAAAAAATAAAATCATTTTTTTTTTGAAAAATAGATTAAAAAAAAAACAGTTAGAGGAGTTATATTAAAAAAATTAAAAAATATAAAGAAGAAAATATAAAAAAATACAGAAATTACATTAAAAAATATCAAAAATAAAAAGACATTTGATACGATTAAACCACATTCACTATCATCCACGGTGGTAAGCGGCTACTGTACGTTATCAGGTATCAATGAAGTACGTGACTACCAATGATGGAGGAAAGATTTAATAGGCAGCCAATAGCTGAACAGTGAGCCTGCCACAATTAGTTACTTAATGGGCTGCAGTTCCGACCATCATCAGCCTTAGCTATACGTACCTGCCTTCGTAAAAAAATAAAAAAGAATTGTTGTCATGAGCTTCCATCTAGCTATCGAATGTATGCCAACAAACCTGCAACAACGACGTACAGAGTCTCGATTAATAATTAATTATAGTAATAAATAAAACCCCATAATTGAATTCAGCTAACTTATATAGAATCGTTATAGTCCAATGGTGTCTCGTCGTCGTCTCAAGTTATTTTCATCTTAATAAGAGCATAGATAATACAGATGTAGCCGTATACCGCCAGAGAGAGAGAAAGCAATGGGAGTGCATGCGGTACTTGATGCATTAAATGCTGAGAAACAAGAGCGTGGTCCATGCAGATTCAAACACATATACCAGGTCCAGGAGTAGTGCTGTACATCACCCCGTTCCTAATTTGAGAGTGGGAAAAAAGAAAAAAAGAAAAAAGAAAAAGAAAGAACCAAACAGTGAAAGAAACTTTAATCTCTTCTCTTTTCTACTGTACCAGCTCACACATGTGGCTTTATAATCATCATCAATTACGCCTATCAAACCTAACCTATATATACTGTCTTTATAGGCCGGAGAGAGGGAAGGGAGGGGAGTGGGGAGGAGTGGGACTTCAATCTCGAAGACTTTGAGCATAGGAATCTTGTGATCGAAATTAATGAATCTTTCACCACAATTATTGTACCAAGTTGCTAATGAATCTTTATGACAATAATTGTGCCATGGTGCTCTGATCATATTACTATTATATGTTTATTACCCCAATAAATTTCCCAACATCCTCCATTAATTAGCTTTTAATATATCACGCACCCTGTCAATACCGAATCGTATGCAGTAACTTTATTTTTCTTTATATATATATATATATATATATACACACACACGCGACAAGCGAGTGAGTATAGATGTCCTGCTCTATTGAGACATATTAAACAAGAAAAGATGGATTAATACGTGTTGTGTGTGCAGTATCCTATATATAGCGCCGGGCTAGCTATACAGGTGAAGAAATTGTGCATCCATGGTTATAAGATGGGTAAGCATGCAGGCTTTTCTGAGTTTTCTCTTAATTAATGCATGCTACTGTAGACTCTACCTCAACACCTTCGAAGCATATCTACAAGACCAGGCCGGGAACATATATAGACGCAGGGAATTCAGTAGTGTACCTCCATGTTCATATTGTTCTCACCACATATATATAGTTCTTCTTTAGCTGTGCTACCTCTGGTCATCTACAGTTTAGAGGCATGATCCGCATGAGATAACAATTTTTTGCATTGATTTGAGATTATTTTCTATTTGAAATTGTTGCGACTTTGTCTGGAAAAGGGATGAAAAGCAGAAAGAAATAAGTGTACAGGTTGAGGCCAAATCAAGGAAATAACCAACAACGTATCAGCTGGCTGTTTCTCTTTTGAAAGTACTTTTCGTTTATAAACGTGCTATTGCACGCAGCAGTAATCAGCTGTTACATCAGAAAGCTTGGCTGGCCTCTTGGCTCATATGGCAAAGACTGATGATCAGTTGCAACTCCTAATGCATACATCCTAGCTAGAGCTTAGTTGCCATTCAATTTGGTGATTGCACTCTCATCTTCTAACATTAGAAGAGTTTTAAATTAACAATATTTCAAAAACGCTCTAGCTGCAAAAGGAAGGACATTGAAAGGAAAAGCTCAGCAGGGACAGATACAATTTTCTGCAGTAGGTTAGCTGGCAGGGACAATTCACTTGCCAATCATATTCTTCAAAAATATCTCATCTTCTTGTTACTTGATACAAAATGAGTAATCGAGCAATTCTGCACGCGCATCTTGGGGATGATCGGTGTAAGGTGCGTGCAATTCAATTTAGTAAGGCTGCGCCAACCACAATAGCTCTTACAGAAACTATGAAAAGACAACACTTATCGACATATGTACGAACTATTTAATTTCTACTACAAAGACAAAACGAATCATAGCTAAGAAGAATGGTAGATCGAAAGGCTTATTTAATAACATTATGGAGAAGACTATAGTCAATCCCATTGCGCAAGCAATTGTTATGAACTTAACAACGCTTGAATGAAAGCGTAAAAACGATCACCTGTGCCCATGAATGCCTACCTGCTTGCCCTAATACATATAGACAATATATAGTTTTATTTAAATAAAAATAACACATTAGTTTCGCTGCAAATCATAACTAGCTAGAAACTTTGGAAGGTTATTGTGGGTGATTAGGCAATAGGAAAAGGAAGAGATGAAAAAGAAGCTAGATTTGTTCACATGGATATAGATAAAGCATGAATTTTAGATAATCTCAGATTGCACTAAACTGATTGCTCACATATTCTCACTGGGTCAACCATGAAAATTATCCACATACACTAGCCGAAGCATATAAATGAATTAAAGCATGCTATTTAAGCTTTTTCTGGATTCATTTCATGTGAAACTATATAAGAAAACATCTCATTGTGTCAATGAATAAATCATCGATCTGCCATCATTAACTTTTCACTTTCTATGATTTAGAATTTGAATCTGTGCTTATTAGATTACTTGAATGTTACATTCTATAATATAAAACTTCATAATTCATCTCTAACTGTGAACATTTTTTCCAGCTGAATTAACATTGAGAAGATATTCAATTGATTATATTCTCGATGCTATTTTTGCGATGCAAAGCAAATGGAATCTCATGTATAAAACATCGTTGATCTTTAAAAAAAAAAAAACAATCAAGAATTATGTAATTATATAGATTTATGGAACAATTTTACATTGCATACATAATAATCATTATATCTTATGGCTAATTAGCAATTCATAACTGTTTAACTTTGACACAATCAACAATGTCTTCTGTTCTCTTTTTCTTCTTTTTTCTGTTTTTATTGAAAACCAGCTGCTTCGATAAGACTGTCAATAGTCAATGGACGCAGACACATATTTCGTCGCTCACTTTGAGATCTTGATAAATGCGTTTCCACTACCTGCCGTTTTATTACCTTAAATTTAATTATCATTGCTCCAACTACTTTAAAGTCATGACTAAGAGTCCAAATTAATGGATGAGTTTTGCGGCTCCGGATAGCATTTTTCTTTTGACCAGGCGGATCATACATCCAAACTAGGCTTAATATTTCAAAAAATTACGAATTATATATATATTTTAATAATTTTAGTTCGTTTTTTAAAAATTGAATAGAAAGTTCATCAAATAAGCATTCGATAATGATACTAACATCAATTTGATTTTTCGATTAAAATTTTGATTAATGCCGACATGACGAGATGATGAAGTATGATACATAGACTTCAACAAGCCACGTAGGATCCACGAAATTAATTTTTCACGTCAATGCTTACGTGAATTCTATGTGATTTGCTAAAATCCACATGTCATACTTACGTGAACTGTCATGTCGGTATTGATCGAAATATTAATCGAAAAATCAGATCAATGCTAATATCGTTATCGGATACTTAGTTGGTGATCTTTCTAAATAATTTTAAAAAAACGAATTAAAATCATTAAAAAGTGTATAATTTATAATTTTCTGAAATATTAAGCCATTTACCGATATATCCAGATAAAAGAATGCACACACACACACATACATATATACATACATACATACATATATTCCAACCCAAACATAGTGTATGTCTTCAAATCATCCATTTGCATTAATTGATAAAATTTCTTCATAATGTACTTAATAATATCAGTTCTTTTCTTTTCTTTTTTGGCTTGATTATTGTCATTTAGTCCCCTACCTAATTGAGAATGAATTTGTTTAAGGGTTAATTTCCTATTAATGACCAATCTACATATTTTTTTGTTTTCTAATTTTATTCAGTAGGTATTTCTAGCGACCATATGATGTAAAAAAAAATGCACAGTTTCTGACAGAAAAGCTATTCATCAAACTTCCATATAAATTGAAGAATCCAAAGATTTTATAATAATATTTTTTTGGATTTATGGTCTTCATGTGGTCTTTTTCAATCTTAATGCCCAAGTTAATGCTCTTTTTCACAATTTAGAAACAAGGTATTCAAGCAGCTTCTGATAATATTCTCTCTAAGATGAAACCATGAAATTTCAGGCCTTGAATTAAGTATACGAACAAAAATATCAAAACAGCAGGAGAAGATTTGTTGGCGGTATGCATACCATAAGGGGAACTTTCAGGAAGTATCCGTGAAGGCAGTAATTCCAACTTCAAAATGACAGAAGTCTTGACCACAGACAGAGTCAAATCTCACTACAAAATGTTATGGATTGTGAAGATGCCGATCAGGTAAAGAGGGTGCATCTTGAATGCCACAATTTTCAACATCTGTACACGCACAAAAAAAAAAAAAAAAAAAAAGAACATACATCATTTCCGAATCAACAAACTAAACAAAGCGGCAAATAATCAAATTAAATTAAACAAGGCTATTTATAATTGTTAAATAGCAAATAGTAGAAAAATAGTACTAGGAAAAGGAAAAGACAAAAAAATGCAGAGTTTTAATGAGAACCTGAAGCTATAAGTACTCTTCAAGATTGAAGATTCGTATAGACAATAATTACAATCACCACAGTAGTTAGTTTTAAAGGTTGTAGAACAACCAAGGAATTAAGAAAGACCTAACAAAGAATTAATACTTGTAGGATTTGCAATAGCCATAAGAAAACAGTAAAGTTACCAAAGAGCCCATTAATACTTCAACTGGTTAAGTTAGAAAGGGTAGCCAATGTAAACAATATTATTAGCGCTAGATTCTAAACTAAGAACCATAAGGTATGCAATTTAACCATCATATAAAAACTGAATCGCGCAGGATATAGTGCTTTCTTTAACCTCAGATTTCCATACAAAATGGTCTTCAAAAGACAGTAAACAAAGCTTTTAATTGCTTAAAAAGATTCAGTGTTATCCTGATACCTTACTTGATAAATCTCTTTCAACGGAAAAGCTGTTTTTGATTGTGTTTGCTGCAATCCAGACAAGAAGATGGCTGTAAAAGTAAACATGAATTATCGAGAAAGACATGTAATAGTGATATACTAGTTTTCAAGATGTAGAAAAATTGGTTAAAAAGAAATAAAGTTAAAGGAGTAAGAATACAGAAGCTGCCTTTTACGGCTGCTGAAACTTTCTGCGCAAAACCTGCAATCCAACTTAACTAAGCAGCAGCAGGAATTTAACCCAATAAGGTAATACAACAAAAAAAGAGAAAATAGGAAAGAACTTTCGACTAAAAATCCATTCTCAAGCAATGTGCCATAAAATCGTGTCAGCCAGCGGGAGAGAGAGAGAGTACGATTGAAATAGATGATGGCTAAAGAGGGAACAATATAAACCCAAACAAACTGGGCAAAGACCCTTGCTTGTATACAGTTAATATTTATTATATAGCAATAACTCAAGTCACTACAAAAGGGAAAACGTTGAAGGAAATATTGCTGATATTTATCTGAATATATGTATTATACACAGTTGAAAGGATTTTTCAAACTCCACATTTCTTGCACCTCTCTTCCGTCTCTTGCTCTTCACAATATACCCAAAACCTCATCTATTGATGTACTGACAATATTTAAACAATCAACAAAAAGAAATTAAGTCAAAAAAGGCTAAAACTTAAAAATTTCTTCAAAGCCTCTTTCCTAAATCCAGTACCCATATTGAAAAATTAGATGCGAAGGAACAAAAGAAATGGTATCTTCGTCACTTGATGTGTGTGCGATCAAAGATCCAAATCAAGAGATAAGGAAGTCTTTCCTTTCTTTGAAAACTCAGCTTGCATTGGAGCACTAGTGGGTGCCCTTAATTGGAGAGGAGAAGGAAGAGAAGAGGAACCCAATTGAGGAGAGAATGAACCCATTGTGCCATGTGTCATTGTAGCCGAAGATGACTGATCATCTTGTGTAGGACACTCCATGTTTACACCAAACAGCCTGAGTCGCTTCCCCACAGTTTTACCATGAGCAACTGGCACAGAATCTATCACCACTGGCACATGACTTCCTCCTTGTTGATGCATGGCCCCAATTTGAAGTGTCCCTGGTGGCCTTAAGTAATACTGCGCTGCATTGACATAACTAATCGTGGCCGGTTGATGATAATGATACTGATTATTATGGTGCTGATGTTGTTGATAAGGATGAATGCTGTAATTCAAATTTTGCAATTGAGGTTGCTGCATGGATAAATTAGAATGAGGCATGGAGTACAACCGGCCCCACCGCACAGACTCTGGATAGTGTAGTTGATTTTGGAGCTCTAAATGTGAGAATGGTGTTGGATCTGGTGCATTAGGCCTGCATCGCCAGTCTATGAACAGACGGTGCTTGCCCGACTCACCAACACCGCGTTGGAACGACACAATATCGCCTGCATCAAGCCTTTTCTCTTTGACAAACCTGCTCCAGCCTTTGGTCATTACATAGCTTTGACTACTATTCCAATAAGAGTACCGGAACCGCCAGGGCTTGCCGTTCCGGTCCTCAAAGTTCAAGAGGAGGCCTTTTTCATTCGATGAAGAATCAAGAGGGAAGTACCTCTCTGCGTGTTGCTTTGGTATAACAAGACGGTTTAGTTTGCCTACATCACTTGGGGTCACTACTTTGTCAAACATGTGCTCTCTCTCTATAGACTCACAAGCACCACCACCAGCGCCAGTGCTAGTGCTCTCACTTTCGTTGTTATTTCCCAGTGACAATTCCATGAGCTCTAGCTTCTTATCAAAGTTGAGAGATGGTTCTTGGGTTTTGCTATCTTGTTGTGACTGATCAAAGGAACAAGGCCACAGGTTGTGGTGCTGAGGAAGAAATTTTTTGCTAGAAGAAGATGGTGTTCTAGGAGAAGCAAAGGGAATAAGCTTACTTGACCTCGCTCCCTCTTCTTCTTGTTCCTCTCCTTCTTGCTCTTCTTCATCGAAATACCCACTTTCTCCTTGAACAAAGTTCATGATGACCCACTAAAAAATTCTTGAGCTTCTTATGATCACGCTAGATCCTGAAGAACAGAAATCCAACAACCACAATAAAAATGATGATTGAAGAGAAAGAAAGTAAAGAAGAGAAAAAAGGTGGGTTAGGACTTTATAGCGAAGTGAACAAAACAAGGCCTCACCTCACCTGGTAAGAAGATTTGGTTTCTTGCTTAGAAGATTTTCTCTTCCAAAATCTGTGAGGCCAGAAACAAGAGAAGCAAAGGGGGAGCAATCTAGCTGATCAGTACAAACCGAAGAGTCGGTGCCTTCTTCTTTGACCAAAAAGGAGCCCCCAAAACCCTAAACTAGACAAGCCATATGGCAATTCAATATTAGAGAGATAGAAGGCAAGTTGTTCATCATGTGGTTGACCTAGATACCAGAGAGAGAGAGAGAGAGAGAGAGTGAGAGTATGCGTGAGGGTTTTTGCTTCCCGGCCAGTTATAGTTTCCTAGAAGCTTCTCTCTCCACAAATGATGAAGCAGAAATATTTTCTTGCTTTTTTCTGCTCTTAAAGAAAGAACCATGAGGATTGAGAATTGAGAGAGAAGAGTTATGCGTAGGGGCCCATGAATGATCTGGTTCGGCTCATGTGAGCTTGTCCTTTTCAGCATTTTTGGGTTTTCTCTATATATATCTTCTGCACTAAGACCCAAGAGGGATGGCCAGTTGGACTTTCTAGTGAGCAATCAGCTTAATTATGATGAAATTTTCTCCTCCATATTTTTTTTTCCATACAAACAAATGTGCGTCATTATGATTATTTTTGGGGTTTCTCCTATTTTTCCAACCTATAGGCAAGTTGTTTTTAGAGAAAGGGCATGCTCAATTAGTTAGGTTTTGAGTTTTGACTTTGGTGCCATTGATCAATTGTGTGCTGGTCCTGGAAGTGAGAGAAAAAAGTTGTCACGGTAAAAAGACCGACCTGGCGCCTCTCCATTTCTCGTCCTCATCCTAATGGGATGGATACCATTAATTTTTTTTATCCGTATTAGACTGCCAGTTGAACGGAATATATAAAATTAATTTTAAAAAATTATTTTATTTTAATATTTAATATTTTATTATATATCTATCAAAATATAATAAATCAAAGCTGAATAAAAATTTATTAAATTTTATTATTTTTTAATCAAAATTTTATATTTAACTAATTATTGTTTATATTTTCATAAATTTTTTATTAAAAAATATTATTTATTTATCTCTATCCATATTTTTAGTTAAAAACTTATTTGGTACATTATTTTTTTTAATCATCTTTTTGCCTCAATTTTTTTAATTAAAAAAATCAAAGAAAAAAAACAAGGACCAAAGTGACCAAAATGAAATAAAAAAAATGAGACCAAAATCAAATAAAAAAATATTTACGGACTAAAAAAAATAATATTTTAAAAAAATAATAAAGTATAATATCACAAAAACTTTCATAATAAATGTCTGAAAAATATTTAAAAACTACAAAAATATCACTACATAGTGAAAGAAATAATGTATTTGAGTTTGGTTAAATAATATAAATGAGTTTGGATGAACAATACGAATGAGTATGAATGAACAATATTTTGAATAATACAATGAATAGTAACCAAAGGTTTTGGTTTAGTTTTTTTTAATAGATTCCGCTAATTTATCTCAAACATGATTTATATAATAAACCAAACTCATTTAGGTTATTCTCCATTTTGTTCATTACAAGACCTATATTGTACTTTAAAATATGCATTGATCCTAGCTAGAATTTTTTTTTCCCTTAAATAGAGTATTTTCTAATCTATTTTTATCAAAATAGGGCATTTTAAATCTTATTTATTAAAAAAGGATAATTTTTCCATATTGTCTTGAAAATTATAATGACCAAATGATCAAAACTCTATCATTATCTTCAACCTTTAGCAATAAGCAGAATTCTTGTGCAATTCTCCTAAAAAAAGGCTTCGTTTGAGTAACCACTCAGCTTAGCATCTAATTAAGTTTTTCAAAAAGGAATTTTCTAACTTCTTGCTATTATTCTTGGCCATATCTTTCTCTGTAACACCAACAGCTATATATCTCCTTTTCACTATGCAACACCAATCTCTTTTGCAATAAATAAATAAATAATGTTGATACATGTGTTTAGAGAATGAAGATTTAAAAATGGTCTAATATTTGAAAGAAGAAGAAAAAACTCATCGATCACCGGCCCTCCTAAATTATCACCCACTCGTCATTAATTTCAAGGTTTGTATATATGGAAACTCCAAATTGGAATCTCAACTGCTATAATAATTAATTAGTATATGTGCACTAGTTATTATTAAGAATAATTAGGTGTTTAAGAATGAACAAACAGTTATATATATCAACAAGAAACAAATTTTGGGATTAACTATATATCTTCATTCATGGAGATTAACAATTTGAGCTGATTACTCAGAAGCAAATAAAGAAAAAATTATTATCCATACATGTTACAACTAATTAACAAGTATCGATCTATAGCCCACGTTTATTAGAATCATATGTTAACTCTTGAAATTTTTATTTTTCGACATACGCCAAAGAGGGGGATGAAATTAACAATGAAAACTTTCAGCACTACGTACAATCTTGCAATAGAATTATGTTTTTTTTTTTTAATCTTCATGAACTCTTCCCGAACGAATTTGTCAATGAGCACAGGATAAGAAAAATGCAAACCTGAGTTAATAATAAAATATGCTAATACCAGAGAGAAGGGCTAAGAAGTTAAGATCAGGAAAAAGAAGAAGAAGAAGAAGAAAAACATCAGAGTATATCTCAACAATTCAAATGTAGAAATCACTCTGAAATAATAAAAAAGGCAAAGGACATAAAAGAAAACGTCAATCAGTATAGAGAGTTGCTTGGAGTTTGGGTCATTCGCAAGTCATGGTTGACTCAATGGGCAGTTTAATCATGGTTTTATGCAGGTGAATTTTATTCAACAAATGGCATTTAATTATTCCTTTCAATTTTCAAATTCAAATGCTATAGGTAGTTATATTAGGGAGAAAAGGTTACTGGTTTGGTAATGAAAGAATCTTGAAATGGACGGAACCTGTGGGGGAACATGTCACGCATTTCCTATTAAGCACGCAGTGACATCAAATATCTACGTGTCATTTTTTTTTAATCCTCTAAAATATTTCAGATTTAAAAATTCAGGTTAATCCTTCGATATTTTAATAAATATATACGAGGAAGATAATTACTCAACGAGTTTTTTTACATGTATAAGGATTCGAATTTGAGACAATTTGTGTAAACAATTAGAACTCCTTCCACTCAATTTAATTCTCTCATATTATTCGTATCAATTTTGAACCATAAATTTATAACTAAAAAAAACACTTTAATAAGTTGATTTTAATGTTCTAATATATAGTAAATGAACAAGGTAAAGACACAAACATTATAGCAGCCCTTGTGCTTACTTCAATTCAAAAAATCAATCCCTGTTGAAAACATTTCATCCTATGAACAACCATATTTCATCAATTCAACCCATTGGACTAAATCATAAAGAAAATATGACAAATTTACATTATAGAAAGAGAATATTTTATTTATAATTCAGTCCAATTGAGTTGAATTTATGAAATATAGAGGTAAATTTGATGATATTTTTATGGGGCTCGTTTGTTGAATTGACAGGCTAAATTGGGGGGATTTCCTATTTATCTTACTTGATATAGTGTGACCACAATCGATTGTGTTTATAATCTTTCACAGCTTCAACGTACGCTTGAGGCTGAATATGAGATCTGAATATTGCTACTTAATAAAAGAGAGCTAGCATGTAATTCAGTCATTTGAACAAAAGGCTTTTAATTAATCTCTTGTAAGTCAATTATTTTATAAGTTTTACTTTGTTATATATGTTGAAGATTATCATGAGGTGAATTTTGCTATTGATCTCATGGTCAATCTACCTATATTAAAGTTGCTTTGTACGGTACATATATGATCACTAATTAAGCGGTATTGTGCCTATTCACTATATGTGATCCTCTTCGATCTTCACGTTTATGGGTTTCGACAGAGCCCCCATGGCAGGCATCATATGGTTCTCTTTGTATTAATATTGATGGGTTATGACAATCAGAAACGTTAACGACAAGATATTGCGGTGATGGTCACTACACCAAAATGCGGACATGGAGAAAGACTGGCTCTCTCTCTCTCTCTCTCTTTCATTTTATATATATCTAAAACATTTTAAAGAAAGTAAAACCATACTCCCTAATTAAGAAGTACTACTCAAAATGTTTTCATTTTTTTTTCTTTTTAGGGTGATGGACGGTTTATAGTTTATTATTCTCTCCCTGATTTCAAATAGTGTAAATTCTTTAGAACTCTTTATCCCTGTCTTCAATAGTAATATATATATGCACAATGTTATGTGTATCTATTAACCAATAAATATATGGATGTACGCAACGAGAAATGGCCTGTGAGTCCATATAACTTCACGGAAGGATTGTGATGTTTGGCTCAAGTACTTCAATTAATTAGCGTACCAACATCATAGTTGGAATTAAATAACACCTTTGTATGAATAAGTACTATAAATATCCACTTTGAAATAAGTTGTTTAGTCATCTTGCAACTTGCATAACCAACTGACAAAGGCATAAATAGATTCAATTTTAAAAAATAAATATCTTTTTAAGACTAATAAATTCAATTTTCAATTTTTTATTTTGTTATATTCTTATAATATCCTAGTAATATATTTAAAAACTTGTTATTTAGCCTCTCTCTCTCTCTTACAACAAATTAGGTAATGTTATTTCTACTCAAATATTTTTAGTCTTTTATTAGTTTTTTTTACCCGCATTACGCTGCAGATTGGATAAAATATATAAAATCGTTTAGAAAAATATATGAAATCAAATGTGAATAAAATTATTTATAATTTTTAATAAAAAATTTTGTATTTAACTATTTTTATTTGTGTTTTTCATGATTTTTTCTTTAGAAAAAGGATTTATCCTTGTTAATCCATGGATTATAAACTAAAAAGAAAATTAAATAATTTAAAAAAAAAAGCTTTAGTATTTCATAAGATTGTGTCGAAAAACATAACTAAAAACTATTGAAAGCTTACATAGAATTGAACAAATATTTTTTTTTATTTAATGTTGATGAGAATATCAATTTTTGAAAAATTATGAATTTAATTTTTATATATTTATTTACAACAGAATGAATAATATTAAAATAAAAAACTATATTAATTTGAATCATTGAGTAGTTAAGCCAAAAATTATTTTAATTATTTAATTCAAAAATAAATAAATAAATAAATAGTAAATGCTTAGTGTAGAGAAATATTATTATTATAATATGATCATACTATTAATAACATATGATTTTATTAAAAAAATGATAAATTAAAATAGTAAATTTTAAAAAATAAACATATTTAAAAGAAAATACTAAAATAAAATGAGATCAAATTACAATACAATTAAAGTTTGAAATTAAAAAAAAAAGGGATTGAAAAATTAAGGACTCGAAGTACTAAAACGGTGACATGAATAGTGAAAGGAATAGTGATTTATGAGTATGTGAATAATGATTTTTAAGTATGTGAATAATGTTTCAACTAGTGAAAATGAACAAGTAAACTTTAGTTTTTTAGTAATAGAAAAATAAATTTTTAAAAAATATTTGTTGAAAACACTAAAGGACGCATATGTTATAGTTTGATAAATACATAAAAAAGGCGATCAAATTTCTTTTCAGTTTTTACAATCACATAATTTCTTTTGGGTACTCTATATTTATGCTAATATATAAACTGAAAAATATGTACAAAGACATGGATAAATAGACAGATTTTATGAAATTAAAGGCATTATCCAAAAAATTTAAAGCTTAACGAAACATCCTTGATGTTTAAAACTATACTACAAAAACTCATGGTATCTTGCTCGTAACTCTAGGGCTAACTTCAAACATACGACAACATTTTTTTTAACATACAAACGCATTTTTTTTATCATTGAAAGAAGAGTTTTTAGAAAAACTCTAAAACAGGCTACTTAGAAAAAAATTGAGGAAAACTCATCCCATGTAAATCTTCTAAAATAATATAAAAACAACCAGAATTAATAGTTAAGAAATAATGACGTCAGTCAAGAGTCAAGGAAAAAGTATGATTTGCTAACCAATCTACACATTGATTAGTTTTTTTATAAACATGAATAATTTGTTTATGTTAAGGTAATTGAAAGAGTAAACGGATTGTTTTGACAAATTGAACATGTCAAACTTATTGATAGTTCAAGGCTCCGGTTTTCAAGGGTTAAATATAGCCACCGTAATAACAAACAAAAAGTCGCCATAGTGCACAAAACTCCGGTTTTCAAGGCCTTTTTTATATATATATATAACAAAGCTTTTGATCAAGGGTTTAGGGAGGAAACTCATGGCAAGGGGAAAAAAGTTCAGGGAGGGAGGGTTAGATATAAATACAATGAAGAAGTAATGCCAAGTATTGGACTAGAAAATCAGAAACTTACAACGATAGTAGTTTTAAATCCACAAAATGCAAATTTCAAACATTGTACTACTTAATTATATTTAAAAATCCGTACTATTTTGTTCAAGGATAAGGATGCCATTACAGAAAGAAGCACTAGAAATTTGGTGGGTAGTGAGTAAACTGCAAAAGCAGAATGAACAAAAGTACTGTTCCTTTACCTTAACCAGTTCTATCACCTAGTTACTTCGACACTTTGTTTCACATGTGGTGTGGATGTGTGCTTGTATTATACATATAGTATACAGCAGCTTAATAACTCAGATTACTAAATATTGTAATTATGTTTGTACTCAAACAGGTCTCGGGTAACAGTCACCAAGACTTTCCGAGGAAATATCATGAGTTAACATCAAAGACCACGGGGAGAAGGTGTGAGGTGTGGCTACGGACTACGGTGATGGTGGTGGTGGTGCCCTTTTTAGAGCTAAAGATAAAGCCTACAAAAGAAAGAAAGGAAAAAAAAAAAAAAAAAACCTGATGGGGACCTCTTTGCCCTCTCTTTCATCATTTATTCAGATGAAAGGTCCTCATGCTTGCCCATTGAGATATAGTAGTTGATTATTAAGCTGTAATAGCATGATTTTGCTTACTTTAACGTCTGCTAATAATGTTTAAGGGCTGCTATTCCAATTTGCAACTGTTACATGTACAGAACAGGGTAGCTGTTCAAAAAGATGTATCTAGCTAGGGTTGGACCACTCCTAACAAGCCAGCTAGGGATCCAGCCACAAAAAAAAACACACACATGCACTATAATCCAGTTGGCGGTTATCTTGTATCTTAATTCTTTCGCTGGCTTTTTGTCCCTCGTCTATTTTGCTAAAAAATGCAAGTACGGCTACTTGTTTAGCATATATGTAAAACCCCACGCAGAGAGTCTACATACTAGGTATATTCAACTTGGTAAGATATATAAAAGGATAAATTTCAATTATCTTTTAAGGTTTATATGCTATATTAATTTTATCTAAAACTTTGGTTTGTTTAAATTAACTCTTTACAAATTATATATTTGTTGCAATTTCCATCTCCGTCAAGTAACTAAATGGAAGGACTTTTTGGCGCCAAATTTGCTGCTAAAATGATAGAATTGACGTTGAGACTGTTGAATAAGAGTAATTAAAGGACTGAAAATAAACCGTCAACGGGAGTATTATGTGCTTATTAGTTTCTTTTTTTGCTTTTTTTTTTTTTATCTTCTAAAAACCTCACTTCAATTTGATTTCCAAAACTAAAAGGAGTAATTGTGGAGAACCAGCCATCATAAGAACATCGTGTACATTCAGCTGCCCATGGAAAAGATGTTACGGCAACTATTTCGATGAAAATCTAAGAAATTACATGCTTGAGATTGAGTTTTATAATTGGTGACATATTCTTAATTTTTTATATTGTTTTGTATTATTCGATTTGAAATAATCTTTGTAACAAAAACAAAGAAACTGTATTAATTAAGGCGAAAGTTATTTCAATTAGGTCTAGCTTCTTCCAATTCTTTACGTTTCCTCTTTATATCCTATACCTGCTATGTATTCTGCTCTCTGCCTCTTAAAATTCAACATCACGTTACTTGTTGGTCTGATCAAATTCAAATTTATCTTTCTTTCTTTTGTTTTGTTTACTACTTTAAGAGTATTTAAATCCACCACTTAATCAATTAAAAGTAACCACACGTGAGAGGCACAGGGCTGACAATGAGGGGCCGATTCGAAGGCTAAGGCTTTTCGTTGCTGGAGGTGGTGGGGAGCGATTGTTCGGTGTGTAGGAGGCAGCGACGACATTTCCTTGCTCCGACCACTTCTTTCAAAGCGAAAGGATGAAGTCTTTGAGTGACACATAGAGAAAGGGTAAGCCTGTGCTAAAGTTAGGAGGGAGGAACTAACAAGTTAATTTTTCTGTGAATAAATTCAAATTTTAAATTCGTAATTATTAAAGAAAGTTAAAACTTATAACTCTCGCTCCTTTTGACGTGGGATAAAAATATTTGAAAAAAACTATAAAAAAAAAAAAAAGTTAAGAGTAAAAAAGAAGAAAGCTGGATTTAGATTAAATCTAATATTGGACTTTAGATCGAACACGTGCGGTCATGAATATTTGATTTTGCGACAGCATTATCCATCTCAAGCCTCCTATAAACATAAAAACAAAAGTTACATGTCATGCGTCCGTCGCAAAATGATCGCAAATTTCTAACCATTATTTTCAATCATGAATTGAACTTTTTTTTAAGGCCATTAACAGATAAATTCATGTTTTCTGTTATTGGAAAAGAGAATTAAGACAAAATATAATAATAATAATAATAATAGCGGCAACTTAAATGTTAGTTGTGTACCAAAACGAGTATGGAGTTAATCATATATAAGTTTATTTATGTAAATCTAAAAATATAATTTCTTGTGTGTGTATGTATATATTCAGTTGATTTAAAAATCGGCAACGATAATATGTACGGAAAGTATCAAAATTATATATTAAAAATTTAAAGCTTCGGGTCGTGACTATAGATATGTTAATTTAGTGTTCGAGGATCAGTATTGATACCCACAGCATAGAAGCATTAAGGATGGGTCTCCATCAAGTAGTGGCATCGCTTTCACGAGGACGATAATGGTAACAACTGTCATGCCCCAGAGTCTAGGATTAAGTAGCATAGGGTGATAGACAAATTTCATGAGGGCTAAGGCTATGCTATGCTAGTTGTGGATTAAATAATGGTGTAGCAATTTGGGGGAGAGACTATTTACAGTGGACCCATTTGTAAGGGGATCTGGACACATGCAAATCAACCAGGTAGCTTGGAAAGGAACTTGAATGAGGGCGAGGATACCCAAATAATTCCTTTTGAAATGTCGTGGGCAGGAAATAAGTGGGGGCCACAAGCACTAATAGGATCTGCAGCGACGGTATAGCATTGCAGTACAGAGGCAGAGACACCACCACCCTCTTCTTCTTCTTCTATAACCCCACACTAGCAGTCTACAGTCCCACCTCTGCCCCTCTTAAGAAACCGTTGAGCCCCTCCCGCTGTTAAATCGCTTTCTCTCTTCATTGGATGACACGGAGCCCATAGTTAGCTTAGCTAGCCCTTTCACTTATTCATGTTTGTGGGGGGATGCCGTTTATTAATTAATATGAAGAGTAAATTATAAATTGGTCCCTCTAGGTTTGTAATATAAAAATAATAGTTTTTATTCCAAAAACTAATTATTAATCCATTTCATCTATTTCGGGTATTTTTTCAATTTATTTTTTTATAAATATAAAAGATAAATAAATAAATGAAAATATTAATGAGAAAGAAAGATATTTTATAAAACAAATTAGTATTAAATTAAGTATGATCCATGTTGTTTAAGAAATTAATTAGTTAATTTTAAAAAATTAAAAGAACTATTTAATGTATTTTGTAAAATTAAAGAGATTAATTTATAATTTACTCTTAATACGAATGATTGTCCAATTAATTTTCTCGCCTTCCTTACCATACACGTATATACTTAGAAACTATAATTTTATCTACATATGATAAGGATAAGAGTTTCGGTCTTATACTTTATCCTATATTTTAGCTCTAATCCTTAGCTAAACTACTTGATATAATAATCAATGTTTATCATCATTGATTGTACATGTATAAATACACTTGTAATACATTATATAATATATAAAGAACATTTAAACTTTACATGGTAGCAGAGCTATAAAGTGACTTAATAGTCCAATTTGTTTTTTTTTTTCTTTTCTCTCCTTCTCCCTTACATAATGTCCGCCACACCATCGAACGGACTGCGGTCACAACTTCTTCGTCTTTCATGGCTTCTCCTTCGATGACTTCTCCTTCCCTTCCCAAGATCAATACATGCTTTCTCTTTAAACTTACTCCTACCAATTTTATTCTCCGAAAACTCGGTCCCAACCCTTTCTACATTGTCATGGCTTGTTACATCACATCGATAGCTCTTAACGACCACTCATTTCCACCATCAATGACAAATAATACATATGTTAAATGGGAATGCAATGATCATTTAGTCCTCGCTTAGATCATTGGATCTCTCACGAAGCAGCTTTTCCTCTAAGTGGTTAGTGCAAAAATGCTCATGCTCGCTTGTGGTTCTAGTACACAAATGTAACTCAACCATCTCAAAGGCAATCTTTTTGCCTTGACCAACTACTTAATAAGTATGTTCCTCGGCTTTTTTCAATGAGGAAAGAATATGTATGATACACTTCAATCTTTTAGCTCTTCCGTGCTAGATGATGATTCAAGTGCAAGCATCGTTACGTGGCTTCAGCACTCCTTACAGTGCCCTTTATGTATTTCATTAAATCCGGACACGAACCTATCGGTTATGAGATCCTTTATGGTCTTACTCCGAGTGAAGAATTCCAGTTGTAGGAGAGTATTAAACCAAGTGCACAACTCTTCTCATCGTGGCGAGAGGTCATCGTGGTGCGTGCCTAACTCGTTTTAAATTCACGATAAGGGAATAATTTTTCCCTTCGTATGCTCGCATGACTCCATTCCTATGAGATGTTACAATTGTAATGGTATGAGTCACCTAGAAAAATGTTTGTCCCTCTCTAAGGCCTCGCTCAATCAATTGTCATCCTAAGCCAACTTCTAACCTTACCTACTCCAAATCCCTTAACCAATCATAGATTATGGACACCGATGCAACTCATCATCTAACAACGTAATTAGATAATCTTAGAGTTTATAATGAGTATAATGGTCTTGAGAAAGTGCACTTAACCGACAAGTAAACCGGCTTTCGTATCTCATATTGGTTTTACCTTTATTCAACCGCATAATCATTCTTTTTTCTTAATAATAGTTTAGATGTCCCTTCTAGCACTCAAAATATATTGTCTATCAATAGTTTTATAAAAAATAACTCTTATTCTATAGAATTTTTTCCTTATAAATTTTTGGTAAATAACTTGGCTTCTCAAGAAATACTACACGTAGGACCCCTTGAAAATGGTCTCTACACCTTTTCCTTGGATCATTCCTTACGTCATCCCTTCTCCATTCGAGCTCACAATGCTACCTTAGCAACTTGTGGCATGCTCAACATAGGCGTGCTTTGTTCAAAATAGTTCACTAAGCTTTAAATGATACTCGGTTCGTTATTCCTTCATCTAATGTTTCTTCATTATGTCATACCTTTTCTCTTAGTAAAATCCATAAGCTATCTTTTCTTTTATCTAGTTATAAGGCTAAGGCACCATTAGAATTAATTTGTTCCGATCTTTAGAGACCCTTTTTTGTTCCATCTATAGATGGTTATTCTTATTATTTTTTTTCATTATGATCATTATAGTAAGTATTTTTGGTTGTTCTTTTTTATATATATATATAAATCGAGAGATTCTTAGTTGTTTTATCAAATTCAAGCACATTATTGAAATTTTTTTGATAAGTACATCAAACAATTTCGATCGATTAGAGAGGAGAATACTAAACCTTAACAAAATACATAGATGAAAATGAAATTTCTCAAAAGAGTGTCCATCTAAAAACACCGGAATAAAATGGTTGTGTTGAGAGAAAACACCGTCACATGGTAGAAATAAGCTTAGCTTTTCTTAATTATGCTTCGTTCTATTATATTTTGGGACTTATGCTTTTGTTACTACCATTTACGAGCATCAACCATCTTTCCACACCCAAATTACAAAATCATTCTCCTTAGTCCACTTTTTTTGGTAATGACCCTCCTTATGATAAGCTCAAGAATTTTAGTTATTTATGTTATCCATGGTTAAGGCCATATGTCAATCATATATTAGCACTTAGATCTTCTATTTTTATGTGTGTGTGTGTGTGTGTGTGTGTGTGTGTTTGGATATAGAAAAATTTTTAAAAGTTACCTTGAGAATATGCAAAACATGAAAATTTATTAAATTGAAGAATCTTCCGGCTCTTCAATAGATGTCCATATGATTTTATAATAATTTCTTTTTTTCATATCATGAAAGACCCAAGATTAAAAAAAAAAATAGTTATGCCACATGATAAAAATATTTGAATTACTAAACTTTTGGTTTACTATACTATTTGTTTCAATCATTCAAATAAGAGAAAGCGAGTGACTTTTTCAATACATATTTTCTACCTAGTATAATAATTATAATGTATAAGCATTCATATTTGCTATCTTGATATGATATCAATTTAGATTAATATATTTGAAACTTAATAAATTGCTATGAAACTTTTAAGAGAATAGTACATTATTTATAATAAAATTTATTCTTTCTTATAATAACATATTTGCTCTTCTAGAGCCTTTAAATTATGTCGTTTCAAGTAATAATATATCGGCTCCTCAAGAGCCTTTAAAAGTTGTCTCTTCAAGTAATATATTCACTCTTTGAGAGCTTTAAAAGTTTATCTCTTCAAATAATAATATATTCACTTTTTAAAGCCTTCAAAATTTGTTTCTTCGATTAATAATATAGTCGTTCTTTTGGAGCTTTCTATTAGATTGATATTATCATATATAATATAAACATAAAATAAATAAATAAACATAAAATAAAAATAAAAATAAATTCTTGATAAACATAAATAAATAAATAATAAAATAAATTTGTATCTATCTCTATGCAATAGAAGTTATAAGAAAATATAAAACATCTTATTTATAAATTAAAAAAATAATAAATTATTAATTTCAATTACCACCATTTTGATATATAAAATTAGCTTCTATATTTTACTCTTTCCTTTTCAACAATAATTGATAAGACTCAATGAGATGCTTTGGTGTACGGTAGGTACGCGATCAATGTCCATTCAAGTCATATCTATAATATTTATTTTTAGAATACCGACTTGATACATTTTTATTATTTATTTTTTTCATAGTTTATCCACTTCGATAATGAAAATATATTGTTATTGTCATCATGATTATAATGATAATTATTTCGATTACGTCTATGGCTATAACCACACCTTCGTCCATGCTCAAAATTATTATAAGTTGTCATATTTACTTCGGGGAATGAAGTAGATTCAATTGGATTGGATTTATTCTTTTTCATCAATACTTGTTATTTTATTTAGCCACGAGCAAATTGAAATCGATTCGGTATATTTCTTAAACTTTTTTACTCGATATCGTCGTCGTACGAGCATATTCGATACATGAAAAACAAAAAAAACTTACTCGATATCAAGCACTCATGATCAATAATTCTTATCCAACATGTTAAGGGCCACAAAATCAAGTTTTGTGAGGTTTGATATCATAAAAATTTTAAAATGCCAAGTATAATAATAATATTTAGAAATAAAAATAAAATATAAGAGTAAAATTTAAATAATAAAATTTTAAATTTTCAAACAATATATATTAGATCATTAGATTCTATATATTAAATCATTTAAGTTTTTCCGATATATATTCTATGTATCATTAGATTTAAAATACATGATAAATTAGATACATACATCTTAATGATCTAAATAATTTAGATCTTTTGGTAGAGCATTTATGTAGAAAAAATTCAATAATTGAAACAAATGATCAAGTGTTTTGGTAGAGCACTTATGTAGAAAAAATCTAATGATTGAAACAAATGACTAAGTCTTTTGATAGATACATACATCATGATCTATTATCTCGATTGGTTAAAGCTTCGTGCTGATAATGTATTATAAAAGAAATGGCAACAATAATAGAATTAGAGAGAAAAATGATGAAGAAATTATTTCACTATGAAATAAAAAGAATATAAGAGATAACAATTTCAAATAATTCTCTCACTCTCTGCAAAATGCTTGTACACAAACTAATAAATAATCAAGTCCATTTATAGACTCCAAGATCGGGAAGATAATTGGAAGGAACTATTAACCATTAAAAGATACATAAATATTTGAATAAATTACATCATTCTTTTAATTTCTTATATTGAATGATGAAATTGAATTACATAAGTAGTGAGAATATGAAATGATCATAGACATTCATTATTTCATAACATTTTTAGACTTTATTTAATTTTTTATGGTTTTATTTAGGATTTTTATTTTATGACATTAGGATTTTATGGATAGAGATTTATTAATTATTATACGTGCTTTAACTATTTAGAATATAATTTTATGTTATTAATAATTATATTTAAAAAAAAAAAGGATTGAATCGCATACAAGAAGGGTGAACAAAATGCTTCATCCAATCCGACCAAAATGAGGACGGGTGATGGTGAGTATATTCTGAAAGGAAGAGTATAAAAAAAACCCTTACCGATCTGGTCTATTATTATCTCTACAATTTTGATTATCCAGAACAATTTTTCTATGTTTTTGGACATCAAATCATTTAATTTCTACATAAACTAGATTTTTTAATGAGGATAATTTAATTAGTTGGTGTAGTTGAAACCTTCCCCAGCTGCCCTTGTGATAGAGAGCCGCCATAGAAATAAGAATACGAATAGATAGACATCCATAATGTATGTGTGTGTGTGTGTCTGAGAGAGAGAGAGAGAGAGAGAGAGAGAGAGAGAGTTTGCCGGTTCCCTTTTCTCTTCATCCTATCGAACAGCTGTCAGTCAAGTAATTTTCTTTCTCTACTGGCTCGGGAGTACTTTTTTTTCCTCACCTTTTCAGCAAGCAAATTAGAAAATGTTGGAACAAAGTGGTACCGTAGAAAGAAAAAAGGAGTAGCTGTTTGCACAGTATATAGGATTTCCTTTAATTAATTCTCTTGTTTTGCCCTTTTGTTTTACACCTCAAAAGCAACCTAGCTAGTTGAGTCTGACAGCCTACCTATCTACCATGCTATTCATCCCCAATTTCGGCTTTCTAATCTAAATTCTAGGTAACCCAGCCCGATTTTGTTGGATTCTATGTGCGCGCTAATGAGTTTTACGAGGGAGTGCTGAAAATTTTACACGAAGAATAACATGTGCCTAGCAAAATGTATGTGCCTAGCTAACTTCAATTATACAGTCCCAAATCCATTCCTCCATTTATATAAATACATTTAATTGCATTTACCATCAAACTAATGAATCGTGTAACTTGCTTATATGAGATATTGGATCAAATTGGATTACTAAATCGATATATATCGATTCATGATGAAAAATTTCTTTATTTTCTTAATGAGTATATACATATTAATCACATATACGATCAAACAAAATTGTCTTTCACACCATATATTTTTGCAATGACCTCAGCCGCTTTCGTATTGAAATCTAAAGTGTAAAGTACTTTCGGAAATAGACAAATTTTATATACATTAAAATATGTTATCTCTCTAAAAAAAAAAAAAGTTTTGTTTTTTCAAAAATTTCACATTTTTAACCTAAACAAATCTTTTTGTAATCACTCAAGATGTAATTACATCCTCGTATATTAAAAAATTTCAAGAAACTAGTCAGCTTTAAATGTGTATGGCATACCAAACACTTTAACATTAAATACTCGTCTATATGATTCATAATTGTCTCTTAAAATTGGTCAATAAATGTTAAGTTATGGAGACCGATATGAATAAGGCCTGCGAGTATAAGGTGTTATGCGGAACCGGTATAATGGTCTTAATAGTCGATTAGTGAGCGAAGATCAAGGAGGTAGCGCCTTTGTGGAGGCTCGAGGACGAGTTCTTGAAAGGTCTACAAAATATTAAGTCATGTGTATGGTCATTAAGTCTTTTTTTTATAATTCTAGTTGTCCGCACTATAAATAAAAGCAATATTACTTATATTTGTAATCGTAACTTGATAAAACCTAATAAAAAATCCCAATGCAGCTAGTGGAGTGGACACTATTGTTGAACCACATAAAATCTTTGTGTTGTATAATTGTTTTTATTTTTTTTACTCTATTCTTTTGCTTTATTCATTTCCTAATAGTTGGTATCGAGCCCTAGGTTAACGGAGTAAAGAGGAATGATGGTAGAAAAATTAAAAGTGAGGATTGACAAGTTTGATGACAAAGACTTTGGGTTCTAAAAAATACAAATTGAAGACTATTTAGACCGTAAAAAGCTACATAAACTTCTATCAAAGAAGAAACTAGAAAGGATAAAAGATTTTAATTAGGTTATGTTGGATCACCAAGTTCGGGTGTTATTTAACTAACATTGACATGGAAATATTACTTTTAACATCGTGAAAGAAAAGACCACGAGTAGCGTGATAAGACATTGTCAAATATGTATGAAAAGCCATCCGTCTCATACAAACTATTTTTGTCGCATCGATTATTCAATTTAAAGATGACGAGAGGGTGCGTTTGTGACTAATCACATTCATAAAGTTAATGTGTTGATCCATCAATTAGAGCCAACAAGCATTGTGTTTGATGATGAAGTTAAGGTATTGATTTTGCTATCTTCTTTACTCGATAGTTGATCTAGAACAAGCAATGACGATAAACGAGTTCATCAAGAAATTAAAAAAACTAAAATTAGATGATGATCAAGATTTAATGGTTAATGAAGATCTTTGTAGGAGTGAATCAAGAGAAACTTTAAGCTCTACTTTAAGTATTAATAGCGAGAGGAAGGGACTTTTAGTAAGGTCGAATCATGCTTATGATAGATCAAGATCAAAGAGTAAAGCGAATCCAAAAACCATAAAGAGATCACCTACAAGAACTATAACAAAGTGAGGCATTTTAAAAATCAATGCAAGGCTTCGAAAAAAAAGAAGAATCATGATGATAACTCGCATATGCAACGACCGATGAAATTATTGATGTATTAATTTACGGTATAGACAATCCTATTGAGTCTTGGATTCTAGACTTAGGTGTGTCATCTCATTCTATTTCATGTAAAGATTTTTTATAAAAATATATTCCGGAGAATTTTTTAAAGGTCTATCTTGTAGATGATGAACCTCTAGACATTATGAAAAAATATAAGGTTAGTATTAAAACCGTCAACGAAATGCAATGGAAACTACAAAATGTTAGACATATTTCAAGTCTTAGAAAGAATATGATTTTTGTGAGTAAACTCGATAATGTTGAATACACAATAGTATTTGAGAGTTTATCATGAAAGATAATGAAGGGGAATATGATTTTAACATGAGGCATTAAGGTTGAAACTTTGTACACAACTCGATATAACAAGAGATAAAATAGTAGTAGTTAATTTTGATAACGATGATGATTCAATACGATGACACCAAAGGCTTAGGTATGTTACTGAAAAAGGATTTGAATTAGTTAGCAATAAAGAAAAAAATTACCAAAATTAAAACATGTTGATGTTGACTTATGTGAGGATTGTATCTATAGAAAACGAGAAGAGAGTTTATTTTCTAAAGTCTAACGGATCCTTAAAAGAAAAGAAACTAGAATTGGTGCATATAGGTGTATGGAGACCAACCTCAGTGACTTCTCTTGGAGGGTCACACTATTATGTCATTTTCATTAATGACTCCACCGTGAAAGGTATGAGTTTATTTTTTAAAAAATAAATCTAATGTGTTTATTGTGTTCAAAAGGTAGAAGGTCGAAGTTGAAAACCTAACTGGTCCGAAGATCAAAGCTTTGAACTTAGATAATGAAAGAGAGTATGTTAATAGAGAATTCAAAGATTATTATTCGGACAATAGGATCGGAATGATCAAGACTTTTCCTATGACATCGGAGTAAAATGGTATTGTTGAAAGGATAAATAAAAGTTTTAATGAGCAAACAAGAAGCATGAGATTGCATTCTAGTTTGTCCAAAGCATTCTGGGTTGATCCAATAAATATAACATCTTACTTTATAAATAGAGTACCTTCGGTTCCATGGGGCTTCAAATTATCCGAGAAAGTATGATAAAAAAAGAAGATAAATTTCTCATACTTGAAAAGCTTTATTTGTGTTTCATATGTACATGTAGGGTCTAATGATAGAGATAAGCTTGATCTTAAGGCTAGAAAGTGTTAATTCATTGGTTATGGCTCTAAAAATTTTGGTTATTGATTTTGCGATGATCGAAATAGAAAGATCATAAGGCATAAAGATGTGATATTTAGTAAAAATATATTGTATAAAGATAGACTTAGGATAAATTTTAATAGTGTAAGGAACTAGTCAAAAACAAGTGAGAAAGATGACTTAAAAGCGATTTTGGAGGATGATATATATGCGGTTCGGAACCCATATGATAGAGATAGGGAAGCTGAAACTAAATTAGAATTAGTAACTCCTACTCCTCGACCAAGGAGATCCGATAGAGTGTCCAAACCCACTCAAAGATATTCTCCTTCTTTAAATTATTTTCTTCATATTGAGGTTAGAGAACTAGAATTCTTTTATGAAACAATGTAAGGGAAAGATTTTATCAAGTAGGAGTTGGCTATGAAAGAAGAGATGAGGTCTCCTAAGAATAATCATACATGAATTTTAACTATGTTACTAGAAGACAAAAAGGCTATATACAACAAGTGGATGTACGGTGGTCAAAAAAGAGCATAATGATAGTAAAAGATACAAAATAATGCTAGTTATAAAGGTTTTCAAATGAAAGAAGAACTTTATTATACTAAGATTTTTCTCTCCTATAGTTATGATGACTATTATCAAGCTAGTGCTTGAGTATTGTTGCTATAGAAAATTTACATCTAGATTAGTTAGATGTTAAAACTACTTTTCTACATGGTGACCTTTAAGAAGATATATATGTGTGTGGTACAACCAAAAGGTTTTGAAGTTCCAAAAAAGAAAAACTTATGTGTAAGTTATAAAAAAGTATGTATAGTTTGAAGTAACCTTTCGGACAATGGTACAAGAAGTTTGATGGGTCATATGTGACAATGGTTTCAAAAGATGTGAGATGAATTCTCGTTGTTATATAAAGAAATTTGATGACTCGTTATCTTATTTTGCTCTTGTATGTTGATGATATGTTTATTGTAGGACTTAACTTGAAAGATATCAATAAGTTCAAACAATAATTAGTAAAACGAGTTTGAGATGAAGTACTTAAGACCTACAAAATAGATATTTAGTATGAGGATCGGTAGAGATAGGTTAAAAGATATATTGACTTTATCTCAAGAAAAGTACATTCGAAGGCATAGAACGATTCAACCTTTAAGATAAGAAGATCGAAGCACTCATGTAGGAAGCCACCTTAAGCTTTCAAATGAGCCATCACTAAAGACAATTGAAGAGCAAAAATA